GCGTGTCACGGTAGGGAAAGAAAAGGAAAACTGCCTTAGAAAATAAAAACCATAGATCTTACAATCACGGTGATGTTACAGACCTTACAACCACAGGTTTATGTCATAGATGGTTAACTTGTTGGTATGTGTCATGTCTTAGTATTATTCACACCTAAGGAGGCTCATATGTTTATGAATATTGACTGTCTTTAAAATGTTAAGGATACGAGCTAAACTGTAACAGATCTTGTTTGATCCTTCATGATGCTTTTACGCTTGTATGAAACCCACGAAATTAGTATTTATTTTTTTCAATGCGAAAAGACACCTAATTTGGAAATTCGTGACTTCCCACAAGACTTAACACTGAATTGTTATAGTCGCATTACAGTGCTAACCAATTCATTGTACCTTTAATTGCAAGAATGGTCTGCTAATAAAAGCGTCAAATACATACTTTGGATGTATTAAAGCTCTGTAAACGTCGTTCACTTAAACTGCAGGGCATTTAGAGGCGATCTGAATAGTTATCTGTAAAATGCACACTCGCACTATCCGTCAATATGCATATGCATTCCAAAACTTGTAATTTGTTACAGGAGAAATTTTAGAACCTCTTCGTGTCTGACTCCTACAGGTCGAGCTGCTACAAGCAAACGCGTGCACTGCCGCTTGCGGTCCAGAAACACTTGTATTCGGGAAGCCAGGCTGTTCTCCTTAAAACCCAAGATGCCTGCAGCATCTCGTGTGTCTTATTTGTTTCGGGACCGATCTGGGCATCTACAGGCGGCTTTTTGAAAAACGTAGATATATGCATTTGTTTTGCCATGTTGGCTAATAAACCAAAACCCTAGCGCTAGACAGCTCTAAGAGTGTCTGAGGACAACGATAGGCAATTAGGCTACGGCTACGCATGCACCGCCCCACTGTATTTACATAATTTTCTTATTGGTCACGAAAGATACAGCGAGATAGTAGCAAATCACATACAAAGATAAAAAAAAATCAAACACGTAACATTAAAAAGCAAAACATGTAACGCAAACAAGGGAAAAAATATTAAATTACTTTGGACTGATTCTGTCAATCACCCAGGCCCACCTGTTGCTATGCCCCTGCCCTCCACTCAGAGTGCTTTACGGGTAATGGGGTCTCCCCTCCACCACCACCACCAGATGGCAGCCAGAGAGCGCCAGGACGCTTCCCCGCACACCAGGGGTCAGCAGGGTGCAGAACTAGAGTAATGAAGCCAAATCACAGATTCTATTTCTATGAATCCCCTGTGATCCACAACACAGTCAAATATAACCAAATACGATTTTCTTTCTGTCCCATCAAATGCAAGGTGGTCATTTTGCTCTTGTCTACCCTTTCGCCCCTCAGGCCATTCGATGGAGCGCAGACCGTGCCCACCTGAAGGCCTGGCAGCGGGGCAGGACTGGGTACCCGCTGGTGGATGCGGCCATGAGGCAGCTGTGGCTGACTGGCTGGATGAATAACTACATGCGGCACGTAGTGGCTTCCTTCCTCATCGCCTACCTGCACCTGCCTTGGCAGGAGGGCTACCGCTGGTTTCAGGCAAGGGTCAAGCCATCCCAACATGGATCCAAGGATCAGCCCAACTCCAGTCCACAGCTGCAGCCTACTGCCCTTTCTGTATTGCCCTTTCCGAGATAACACCCTGAGAACACAGCTCGAAACCCAGTGTTAATACAGGCATCACAACATTTTTCAAACTAGGAAAGCACCATCACTGGCACAGAGAAAGGCCGATGGCAGGCACATCTCCTTCGAGTAGTTCAATGCGCCAGCATCTGTTGGCTGCAAAGGAACAAGTCAAGGTTTATTCCGTGCTGAAAAGAGTAGAAAAGAAACAACATTTAGGCTGCGGAGCCTTCTTTAGGGGTGTCACACTCCTTCAAGATGTGCATAGTAACAGATAGCCGTGCAATTATAAGATCACTATTAGCCATATACAATTTCTTGAATTAGTCTTTTCGCATACCCCAGCCTGCTCTCCATGAGACACACAGACAGGGAGAGAATCTGGGGGTCAGAGGGCAGTTTCAGCCACTTATACGGCACCCCTGGAGCAGTTGGGGTTAAGGGCTTTGCTCAGGGCCGCAATGGAGTAGGATTCCTCTGCCAGCTGCAGGATTTGAACCTGCAACCTTCCAGTCACAGGCGCAGATCCTTAGCCACAGTGCCACTGCTCCTACTACTGTAGTGTCTTGCCTACTACTACATCACTGGCGCGGCTATGCTCAACCTCTCTCTTTATCCTTATTGTCTTGCCCAGGACACCCTGGTGGATGCAGATGTTGCCATCGATGCCGTGATGTGGCAGAATGGAGGGATGTGCGGCCTGGACCACTGGAACTTCGTCATGCACCCCGTCTCCGCGGCGCTGACCTGTGACCCCTACGGGTCCTTCGTGAGGAAGTGGTGTCCAGAGCTGGCCGCCCTACCCGACGAGCTCATCCACAAACCCTGGCAGTGCCCAGCATCAGTGCTCCGCAGAGCTGGTGAGACGTTGATTTTCCCTCAGGAAAATAAGAATCCTCCGACACAACTTGCCCGAGTCACAAGTAAAGAGAGCACTGTGGCTGATGAAAAGTATTTAATCGTTGTACACAGATTACTTGTTTCTTGGATATAGAATTGCAGAAGTGAATAAACATTTGCAACAGAAATCACTTTTAGTGTGCAACAAGCACAGTCATATTACTAAAATATGCCAGACAATTCTGACGTGCATTTGGGGGCAGGGCAGCATCATATGCACTAAAGACAATCTCTAAAGGAAGTCTTGACCACAAAAATGTGTGTTTCCTGTTCTTTGATGAGATACCTGTACATCTTGGTTAGTTAAGGCAGAGAAATATCAATATTATCTTTAGGACCTCTTTATACTCTATATTCACAGGTTTAACTTTCCTGAAAAACGTTGGGGCCTAGATGAAGTAATAAATTGAAAGCAGCGGTCCTCCCAGTCCTTACTTTCCCTCCCTCTGCAGGAGTGACTCTCGGGGGGGACTATCCGGAGAGGATCGTTGCGGACCTCGAGGAGCGGCGCGCCCGGTCTCTGCGGGATGTGGCCACAGCGCGCCAGCAGTTCGCCGGCGAGTACGTGGACAGGCGCTCGGGCTGCGACCTGCTGCCCCTGCCGGACAAGCTCGTGAAGGAAGCCCTGGGCGGCGGCGGCGGCGGCGAGGTCGTTCAGCGCGGCGGCCGCTTCCTCCTGCCGGTCATCACCCGCAAGGAGTTCCAGCACCAGACGCTGGAACCCGGAGCGCAGACCAACCCCTTCGACGCCGTCCTGCGGGGCTACGTCAGCCGCCAGCGGGACGAGGCCGCGGCGTTCCTCCGCGAGCGGGACTTCACGGCCAGCGTGATGAGCGAGGGCGGCCGCCGGCTGGAGCGGCAGGAGAGGGACCGGCGCGTGCTGGAGGGGCTCCCCCCACCTCCTGCACAGAAGAGCAGAGCCAGGAGAACCCCCAGAACCGACCCCTTCAGTGTGGTGCCTGGGGGAGCCCCCATCACGCCCAGTTAAGCCCAACGGGTTCTCTTTTTCTTTTTAGAATTACAGGGGCAGTGTTTGTTATAAACCTTTTAAATGAAGCTACTCCTTTGAGAAATATTTTATTAGAAGACGCCTAACAAATTATTATTTTTTTATTTCCAACTACCTACCTCTGCAGTTACAGAGTTACCGCCAGATCCCGATTTATGAAAAACATGTTCATTAACCTCCCAATTTAGAATAACAAAGTATTATTAGAATTGTAGTATTACAGAAATGTAACGTCTGCATGCATAGTACTTTTGATTTTGCACTATACATCTGAATTCTGATGGGGAGAAAAAAACACTTTTTACGGCGCGTCTTGCTGGAACGTGCAGTGGAAAACTCCACTGCAATCAAACTCTAAAACTGCAGGAATGAAGTACAAGTTAAACTGGCTTTAGGATAAGTTCTGCTTAAGGGACTGATCAGGCTCCGTGAAAAAGCTGATCACCGATAAGTTCTGCTTAAGGGACTGATCAGGCTCTGTGAAAAAGCTCTGTGAAGCAAAAAACTTGCTGAAGTGTTTTTAACCAAGAAACTGAGCAAACCTTCTACAGTCAAAAATAAACACTAAAAATGAGCCTCAAACATGCAATAATACTTGTGCATAGGGCAAGTAGAATTACTCTGATTACTCTGCATGATCTCCTTCCATACCCAGGGGACTCAGATACAGTTGTGAAAAAACCAATGAGCAGATTGTTAAAGAAACCTATCTAGGGATGACCATTAGTGATGACCTTAGGTATGCCACTTTTGTCAGGGAGGGGAAAAAAAAGTCAACACTCTAAAATGTTTGAGGCTTAAACTTTTATGGCAAATTACAAATGACAATTTAAGTATTTAGGACCTCTCAATCGAAAAAAAACAACCCTAGGAGCAGGAATCTTTAACCCATGTCCTACAAACAGCAATTTACTTAACTAAATCTTAAATGCTTTCAGATCATTATAATGATTAAAAGGGCCTTTCAAACAAATTATGCCCGATTAGCAAGAAAACCAGAAGAGAGTTTTCTCAGGTGAGTTGAAAACCTGCTGCTTGCAAAAGTTTTTTTCACAGTTTTTAAACTTTTGCTTATATGCAACAAACTGAATTACGCAACATTTTCTTATAAAAAGAGCACTCTGTTGTCACGATCTGTGGTAAATACAATACGAAACAGGCCTGCAACTGTCTTCATTCAATAACCTCAAATGTGGAATGAAAACTAACTTTTGGGAACTTGCAAGTGTGCCCAACTTTGATGAAATTATTTCTACACATGTCAGTTGAATTTCTGTTCAAAGATCCCAAGGGTAAAATGGTTAAAAATAATAATAAAAACACTGAAAATCCAGTTAAAAAACTCGTCTGTGTTTTATTTGTAGATTTCCATTGATTCTAGCTCACCCTCTGCTTGTGGGCCTGCAGTAGTTCAGGGGTAGCTGGGATTAGTAAATAAAATTCTAACCATTGTTTTCATGAGAAGGGGGAATGGAGACTTCCAGTGGGCCTCCTAGTCCTCGATTGATTTGATATATTTTTCATAAGCCTCTTCCTCCATGAGCTCCTCTAGCTCAGACGGGTTGTCGACAGTCATTCTGATCAGCCAGCCTAAGAGACAGATAAAAAACAAAACACCTTTAACAAGTCTGTTGCAAGTCAATGTTTAAAATCCTACAACACCTGCCAAACTTGAAATGCAATACAGTACTTAAATGCGCTACGTGAGGACAGCATATAATTAAAAGCAAGAAAAAGTGCAATCATGAGATTTGGAAATGTCATACAAGTGTAAATGTACACAGCTGGTAACTTCACAAAAATAATAATTAAATCTTTACAGATACACAAATCTCAGAATAATGCATATAAAAAAAAACTTTCATTTTTTTGGCGCTAGTCTTGACTTATACTTGAAAAAAATATATAAAAGTGGATCTAAATCCTTGATAACTACTTCCTGAATTTCTTTTTTGCAAGGGCGAAGTTCTGGATATTAAACCTGGCACATTGCAAACGCACTGAATCAGCAGCAATACAGTCTTGCGAAAATTCCCTTCAAGGCAGGGCTGTGCTCACCCTCGCTGTAGCAGGATTTGTTCACTAGCCCAGGGTTGTCTGCCAGGGCTTTGTTGGTTTCTGTTACCTCCCCAGTCAGAGGAGAGTACAGCTCACTAGCAGCCTTCACACTTTCTACAGCACCAAACTCATCTGCAGAACAGAAGACACGGACAAGAAGTTGCATTTCACTAGTGAAACCGGTGACATGGTCGTGCAAGTCACAGCAGCAACAATGACGTGCATTACGAGAAAGGCAATGCTCACCCATTTTGTTGAGCTTTGTGCCGACGTCTGGAAGTCCACAATATACCACATCACCTAATGCTTCCTGTGGAGCAGTGACAAAATTGACTTTATTTGAACTTTGCCTAATAAATAGAAATAAAATTTAAAAATAGATTAATCAAGAACTAGTGTTTTTTTAAAAAACTACATAGGACTATATATCTAAACTAAATTTAGAAAAGTGTTACTCATTCTCATCGATTACCAGAATAACCCTATTTGCAATATTGCGATACTGCAGTAACAATGCAAAATAGTACTGCAAAATATTAAAGCTGCAGGACAGGCCGGGTTCTGTCTACCTCCTCTGCTTAGTGTCTGTCTGCAAGGAGATGCGTTTTGTTGATTGACTGTCCTGTGAATTTGAGGAATGTGGTTTCTGAAAGGACAGCCAGCAGGATGCATTAGACAGATACATAGCCTGGAAGCCAAATGACTTTTTTTTTTTTGCTTAGTTTTTGTTTTACCTCACAAATGGAAATGCTGCCTATTTTACATTAAAGATAAGCTAGGTACAACCTCTGTTTGCTCCAGTTAAATGCAAATCAAAGGACAAAGCTTGTAAAAAGTGACAGCTTATTCTGAGGATCTTTGGTGATCTTTGGCTGATCTACTGGTTGTCTCCACATTCCAACCACAGCACGTGCTCTAATCACCCATTTTCCCACTAATTATCTTTCAAGAATAAGCACGTTTTCTTTCAAACATTTGAGTCAAGTCTATGTACATGGGATGATTCCTTTGGGGACAAGCACAAAAACAAGCAGCTCTTTGCTTATGGTATCAGACTGAGTAACTGAGAAATGATAAGCATTTATCCTTAAAATAACAGTTCGGTAAACTGGATCAAGAAAGGCTAAGTCCAAACTCCGCACTGTGGGACAAAGGACTCAGTTGTGACAGGGGATTACACACACGGGGGCATAAAAGAACAAGGCAGGGCAATTACTATTTGTGATAAAGTTAACTGCTTTTCCTATGGCGCTAGATTTTCCACTGTGGGTAGTTCACAATGACTGTGATCAAAGTAGAAGGTCCACAATGGGAGGTCTACTCACCTGGGCAAAACTGCTGATGCCTACTGTGCCAATGCCATTTTCCACACGCACCCACTCATGTTTGTCTGTGAATTTAAGTGCTGGAGAAATAAAAAGATTTCAGTACTGTCAGACCAGAGTGTAACCATACAGTATTACATCATCTTGTATGGCTTTCTCCATCATTGGCTGATCGGTACTTAATCTCCCATTGCAAGCCTTGGGTGACCTACAGCAAACGTACACAACACGAGGTTCAAAGTTTAACTAGAGTGGCTTGTAAGGAAGCTATAGGTTATTAAACAATACGGCAATAAAGGAACGCTAGAATAATTAAGAGAGAATAAACTGAGATTGTAAAAACACAACAAATGAATAAAAGGGACGTTTAGTGCTGCTATTTTTCTAGGTCATCTTGACAAAACTGCACTGGCTTATTAATACAAGCAACATCTTTAGTTGATGAATCACTGTTGGCTTAATCAAAACCCAATGGTAAAGAGACTTAAAGGACTTCCCCTTTTCCTACTGTCACGCAGGATTGTTAAAGACAACTCACTCTTAATAGCAGCATAAGGAAACTATTCCTTTGACAAGGGCATGTGCCTGTTTTGTACTTTACAGTTTCAGCCTGGAGATACTGTAACTAGCAGCCCAGATTGGCACCAGACCCTAAAGAAAATGAGGAAATCGGAGAGCCTCTGATTGAAAGGGGACGGTGCCACAGCTCTTCCTTTAGGGTGGGATACAACAGAGTGTCTGCCTGAATCTTAAAACACACACAGAACCAATGGCAGTACAAAGTACAGACCGGTACAATCCGAACCAAGGCCAAAGGGCATTGCACAACATATTTCACCTCCTAATATGGCAAAACGGAGCAAGATTACAGACTAATATTGGCTGCTCACACTTTTTTTTAAACCTAACACTACTGAGCCAAAATCTTCTGGCCCTAAAATGTGCAAGAATCCCAAGGGATCCTTGCAATAAATGATAGAAAACATGTAAACTGTTCAGCGTGTCAGGGAGAGGAATGGGTGATGTGAAGATTCACATGAAACACCCAGCATCTCCAGCCCAATCTCTTCCACACTGGGAAGATTCATTCGTAATATGGAGTGCTGCATTACACAGTCTTAGTTGTGTAAAAGCCACTTAATGAAGGCGTATCTTTTACATTCCAGAAATCTCAAACAAATTCAGCATTTACAGCAATATATAAAAACGAGTAAATATCCCACCTCCGAATTCCAATGTAGTCTTGATTAGGCCATTTCCCTTGCATTCTGATACCCCTGGGGGCAATTAAAATGCTTCAACAATTTTCCAGGGCTGAGATCAGACCATGCAGAAATATACAGGTTTGAACCAGATCTTAAACTGTGCTGACTGATGGCTAGATACTGTGTGAGAGAGAGAGACTCTCTCTCTGCATGGGTATGAGTGGGTCATTAAACTGGAGACTGTTACAGGTTTATGGATTTTTGTAAAAATTAAAACAACATTCACATTTTAGCAATTTGTTGTCAGGAACTTTTTGTCGTTTTCACTATAGCAACAGTTACATCTCAACACTTAAAAAGGAATCCTGAAAAGAAAATAATTTCGAAGAGCTAATAAATTGTGAAATAGTAGATATTATTAATGATCAACCTCGATAATATTTCACCACACTGAGTCAATATTTTTTAAATTACAGTCTTAGGAAAATGTCAATGCTCATGATCCATTTTAAATCTCTTCATATAGGCACATGCGAAAGCAACATAATCAGGTATAAGCAGCACTATTTCAAGCCCACTGGTATTTAAATGGACAGATTCAATGGATGACGTGCTCTAGACCTGATAATATACCCAGTGAGGGTTTTGTATTAGCAGAATTAAAGGACAAATCCTTTTCCTTTTTAAATGCTTGTTCCACGTTATTAGGTTTTGTAAACAAAGCCTGCTCACAGCAAGGAGCACCTTTTCATATTTTGTTTGAACTGGCTTGGACTCATTTTTTTCCAAGTATTAGAAATGAAATGTTTTTTCAGTTAAATATCTGAAATAGTGGAATCTTACGTTAACAACAACTGCATTTCTTGTTGAAAGCTTTCCATACAGTAAGAATCAAAGTGGATTACCATGTTTTTTTTTTAACCTTCCAGTCCTTATCCTTACTTAGTACACGGTTGTAGGGGCATTTTTATGCATTGTGTATAAAAATTTGTCAAGATCCACTTGCACAACACACAAACTGAATATGCAGTACTCACAGCAAAACAGATATGTTGTGTCAGGTCATTCTGGTGTTTAAAATGCAGAGGTCATGCAATACTCAGAGTACTGTATCTGCATGTGTACATTCATCTTTTCAATAAAGGCACAGAAAATAGTAATTATAGCGAGCAAGCAATTACAGAACTAACCCTTCCGCATTTTAGGAATGCTATTTTAATTTAAAACATATGATTACTTAACATTAATAGGCTCAAAACCTCTTTAAAATACAACTACTTATCAGCCATGAATCTGCTGCATACATGGTATTGTCTCGATACGAGGTTCTGAAAATGTAATAGCGCATCTGTAATCTGCAATAAACAGCAGCCGAAGTTCAAAGACTTTTTATATGCAAAGTCAGCGGTTTTTTATTGTTTGTTCAAATTCCCACATTAAATAATGGTTGCAGTCGCACGAAACGAATAATTACACGGTTTTCATCTGCTTCTGCTTAGCGCTGAAGGCCCAATTTGACGAATAAAAGATCATCTAGGCAGTACAAGAAAGTAGCGAAGCTTTTATCGTCTTGGTGCTGGACCGCGTGAGTTTAATAACAAGGTTTTACTTTGTGGCAAATCACTCTTTCGTGCCTGCTTGTATATCCTGCTAGTCATAAGTTTCGATTCGCTGCTTTTTTAAAAACAACAACAGCAACAACACTTCGTCACACTATATACTGTGGTAATTGGACACACTGCAGTTCCCTAAAAGTAGTTAGTTGAAAAACAAAAGCTGTTTTCAATGCACTTACTGAGCTGTGGTTTTGTAACACCATGATGTACACGGGCACTCGCCCAGAGTACACACCTCAGCTCCGCAGCATGTTGAAAAGTCTTACCTGAGAGCAGACGGGAGGCAGTGGCTAGAGTCCGTGGGATGCAGGTCGTCCAAGGGAGCTGGGAAGGGGCTCTCTGTGTAGATCGGGACAGCAGGGACAACGCCAAAGGAAAGTTAACGGAGGCGCACCGGAGCCCCGCTCGCATCGCCATCTTCGCAGTGTCTCTGTCTGAGTGACGTCCTGCGGGCCGCGAGGAAGGCGCGCACCAGCCACTCAGGCGCGCTCAGCCAAGCAGCGGAGAATCGGGAACGCGCATCTCTCTGTCTGCCGGGAGGAAAGGTCCGACAAATTATAGACTGGGACTTTTAACCTGTGCACGGTAGAATAAATATTGCGCATGATAATCACACAATTGTCATAACAATTTAATAAACGTATCTATAAAGTAGCCGTTTAAAGTCTGTAATATAAATATTGGGGATAAAATTTGCAACAAAATGTTTCGCATAGGGTAAATGTTTTATTCCAACAACAGTGTGTCTACCGCTTAGTGATCTACTGCCACAAACAGTGCTCTGCAACCTGAATCGCAGTCACGAAACGCAGGTAGTTAAACGTGCTTTTAAGTCCCTAATATTGTTTAAATATGAGCACACCCTAAAGAAACTTTTTCAGAAGTATTGTGACCCACTACGATTTCAAATACAACGAATATGGTGAAGATACCAAGTCCTTTGGGCAGCAAGTTCTCCTTAATTATCTTCTGCACTCTTAGAGAATGAACCTTCACTATAGTGGCTCAACTAAGGAAATCTGCAGTAATCGCAAGAACTGACTGTCCAGTCACATACTGTACGCTGATTCATATAGAGCACATACTGCATATGAGTCAGTCCTGTACGTCGTTTCCTACTGTATACAGCAGGACTAGGGCTTGCCGAGTCAGCGCTGCCAGACGAACAGTGGGTTAAACAGCAGCTTACAATGCTTTTTCTGGCTGTCCCGTGTGTGTGTCACACTACCCGACTTCGAAATCCTTATCCGGCCGGCGCTTGGCCACCTGGCACGCTCCGAAGGTCACGATGGTGTGGCCGCGCGCCCCCAGTCACACGACAGACCTTTAGCTGAGAGAGAGTATTACAGTGCCGCAAGAATAGCGGTAGATCGTGGTGACTGCATGTTTCATTTGTAAGAAAAAGAAACGTTTACAAGTGACATGGACTCGCCTGGCCTGTGTAGCTCGTTTTGCAGTAAATTATTTATCCAAGGATCAATTCCGGCCGTGTCTTGAAAGAAGTCGGGAAACCGGCTTTGCAACAAAGTTAGGTGGGTAGCTTGTTCCATACTCCCATAACCTGTAAAATAAAGAGCGGTGTCTTCTGCTCTGTTTTTTAAATGCACTCCCACAGCTTTCATTTGTGTTCCCTGCTTAATATTGTCAATGCCTTGGATGATTCTGAATACTTCCAATTCAATTCAATTTATGTGCCCTCCCACTGCCTGAGGCATGTTGTTTTCTTCATGCCACACACCTGTCACTTGGAAATACTCATTTAGTGCAGCCAATTCTCTTTCACAGTCCAGAATGTTCCTACTTCGTCTTTTACTGTGATAATACTCAAAGAACCTTTTATTACGTGTGATAGCCCACATTGCGATATTCTTCATTCGGCGTACACGAAGTCCTTCGATCCATTGAATGCCATAACTGAACGTGACAATGTCAGAACCTTGTTCTCCATCTGTGTGAACCCCGATGGAGGTTAAGATATGCACAACAGTCAGGCCATACTTCCCATGCTAGATACTAAGTCATAGGTAGTGCATCCAACACTCCTTTATCTGCAAAGGGATATGAGTAAATCATTTTCAGATGGGAGTTTCAGACAATTCTTGCATTTAAAGTGATCCGTTCTCTTCATCCTCACCATTCTCTTCTTCAGTGGATGATGAGATGTCTTCAAGATTACCAAAGGTAGCAGAATGGCAGCAGTGTTACTTACATAAGCTCTAACCACAGTGATCTAGGTTGAAATCATGTGCTGGTCCAAGATTTTCTCATATGTGCTCACACATGGGTTCTACAACATGGTGACCTTTGAATCATTTCCATGCAATGCTGACTCTAATGCCTGTGGTAAACTGGCACTCGAGGGCTGGATTCGCCAAAACCTGCTCTAGAATCTGACAAACTTTTTTACCAGTGGATCCCTCTAGTAAGAAAACCTAAGGGATCACAAGGGATCCCTATGGGCTCATAATCTGATTATCTCATTATTTGAGTTTAATTTGATCAGCTTCTTCAAGCTCTTCAGATGCTGGTGTGTTAAAGAGACCTAGAAGATCTGCAGACACACTGGCCTTCCAGAACCAGATTGGGGATCACTGTTTAAGACAGTGAAGAGAGGAAGTGCAGATTAGAAGGACACATCACAAAATAACATAGTAAAGTGATATGGCTATTCAGCAGCCATATCATCCTGCAACTCACAACTGGCAACCCCCTGAAGCTCAGCAGGTGTGAGCCTGGTCAGTACCTGGATGGGAGACCTCCTGGGAAAAACTAAGGTTGCTGCTGGAAGAGGTGTTAGTGGGGCCATCAGGGGGTGCTCACCCTGTGGTCCATGTGGGTCCTAATGCCCCAGTATACTGACGGGGACACTATACTGTAAACAGGCGCCGTCCTTCGGATGAGATGTAAAACCGAGGTCCTGACTCTCTGTGGTCATTAAAAATCCCAGGGCGCTTCTCTAAAAGAGTAGGGGTGTAACCCCGGTGTCCTGGCCAAATTTCCCCATTGGCCCTTACCAATCATGGCCTCCTAATAATCCCCCTCTATGAATTGGCTACATTACTCTGCTCTCCTCCCCACCGATAGCTGATGTGTGGGGAGCGTTCTGGCGCACTATGGCTGCCGTTGCATCATCCAGGTGGGGCTGCACGTGGGTGGTTGTGGAGGGGAGTCCCCATTACCTGTAAAGCGCTTTGAGTGGAGTGTCCAGAAAAGCGCTATATAAGTGTAAGCAATTATTATTATTATTATTAAAGTCCAATGCCTTTAAGAATTTAAACCTATTGCACACTATAGCTGTAGATATATGTAGAATTTAGAAATGATTAAGAAAAAAATGTTTAAATCAAGAAGGTACACTTGTCTGCAATCAAAACATTTAAATACCCAATTCCAGCATCACACTAAAGAATGCATTAAAAGAATTCATGTTTTAAAGTATGCATTATTTTTTCAGAATTCATGATGTCAAGAATTCATAATTCTTTTTCTATCTTCAACACTGCAGTGAGAATCTCAGCCAAATCTCTGTCATCCATAGATTTGCAACCAGTCTGGTTCTGTGCCACATTTTGTTTTGCCCGTCAAAATCCTCTGTTCACGTCAGACACGGGTCAGGCGTTCAGAAAATTCAGAAAACCCCAAAAAACAAACCCCCCCAAAATTTCCAATCTTTGTATCATTTATTCAGTTGTTAAAGTAAAAACCAGTCCCTTTCCTTAATCTTAAAACAGCCATTAAAGGATGTGCCAACATGAAACTTTGACATGAACAGACTCATCCGGTCCCTGCAGTGATCTCTCTGCAGGTAAAAAGTATCAGACGTTGCTCTGCTACACTGACGTTCCTTCAGCGGGGGGCACAGGCTTGTTGTCATCTGGTTTCATGGCCGGGAAAAGCAGCACTTCCTGCAAAAAAAAAAACAGTGTCTGAGCGAGACGCTGCATAGTAGCTCTGAGTACTACAGGGTGCCCTGCTTGAAATGCATTGGATCACAGCCTTACAGTTCTGCTCCTTAAATAAATCGGACAGGAATACGCTAAACATCTCACTTTCCTTTGACAGAATGACAAAATTTAAGAAAGTCTTACTCTACACTGTATTTAGAATGCAAATTCATTAACTATACAGTCATGGTAGATCATTAACAAGAGCTGGGCAATGGTTTCAGTGCCCAGTGTGGCCAATACTGTTATACTCTTAAATAAGGTACTTTACCCTGATTACTCCAGTCCACCCAGCTACAAAATGGGACAGCTGCAATGCTAGCCCTGCAATGGGTTTCACATTCCACCGAACACTGCAGAATTCAGGATTAAATCTGGCCTTTATCTAGTACCAGCATTAAAATGAAAGCATGTGTAAAAAAAAAACTTTGCATAGTGATCAGAGCTGTTGTTCAGCGTGGGCCAGTCGTGTACATTTGACTGACTACACAAGTTTTCAGATCTGCTTCTGTCAGGCTCACCACCTCACCTTGATGTTGTTGGAGTCCGTGAGGAACATGGCGAGCCGGTCGATGCCCATGCCCCAGCCCGCGGTGGGAGGCAGCCCATACTCCAGAGCCGTGCAGAACGTCTCGTCAATGAACATGGCCTCATCGTCGCCCTCTGCCTTTGCCTGGGGGGAAGTGCATGAACAATGACTTGGCATTCATTTATTCACTGAAATACACTACTGACATCTCGTTGGTTCTGGGAAACAAATACCAGAAGAAAACAAGGAACTGGCGGAAAAGGAGCTGTAACACTAATCTGTCAAGGGCTCTACTCCTTTTTTAACTTAGCAGCATGATGTAAATGTAACAAAAAATAACGATCATGCAAGCAATAACCTAAGGATACAACTTTGTCATTGAATAAATATCTTTCCATGTATATTCTAAGTGCTTCATCCAATTCAGGGCCGTGGGGGGGTGGAGCCTATCCCAGCAAAGGACAGGCGACAAGTGGGGTACACACTGGACAGGATGCCTCCATCGCCAGACAGAGCTGAATTGAACTCGGGGTCCCTGCACTGCAAGGCAACAATGCTAACACTAACAGCAACTCTTGAATAAATACACAGGAAGTAAGATTATATCCAACACCTTGGGGCTCTCTCAGTATAAAGGGTCACGACTCACCTTGGCTTGCTGTTCAAACAGCTCCCGCTGTCTTACTGGGTCATTTAACTCAGTGTAGGCATTACAGATCTCCTTCTTCATTACGAAGAGCTCAAATCGCTCCGTCAGCCCCTTCTGAGATCGGTGCCTGACAGCAAAGAGAAAGATATTGCCACGTGCCTGGGGGCTACAGTAGCTGTACTACTGTGGATTATAACAGCCACTGAGCGTTCTGTATCATTTAGCTAATACAGCAACCAGGGTCACACACAGAGCACACATCTGGCTTGCACGGGCCAGCAGCTCAGCAACTTTGCTACACAGGATTTGACTTCTGCAAGGTACCTTGAGTCATTATTACCGTTTTTCAGATCAGCAGAGCATAAACGTTTCACAGTCTCAAACAATAATAGAAATAAGAATAAGATCTGTTTCTGTCACTGGTTGTCTTCAAACTTGTGTTTCTCCGTAGGATTAAAACTCATGTTGGGGAAAAAAACAAAAAACAAAAAAAACGGCCATGAGAGTCCCGTCCCACCGAGGCTGGGTTCCTTGACAGAATAACTCACCATTTAGCCAGAGGGCTCATGATCTGAGGGTGGTCACAAATGAAGGTGGGGTTGATACAGGTCACTTCTAAGAAGTCTCCAACCAGCTGGGAAACAGTCCAGACTCAATGTCAGCAACAGGTATATAAAGCACCTTCCAGTTAAATTCACAATTTATGAGCAAAAAATATTATTTCCCCCGCCTCCCCCAACAGAGATGAACTTGTGAAATTACAAATATAACAAGATCAATGAGGAGATTGGGATAAAGTGAACTAATATGCCTCTCCTCATCACTACAGAGGGTATATTGTCAAAGAAGAGCAACGGTTATATAATATCACAAAGGCTATAAATATCTACCTTATCGAGGAGGCGGGCTGTAGTTCTGGGCGAAGGGCACTCCACTCCTTTCTGGATACACAGCTCATCTAAGAATTTACGGGTCTCTGTTGGGTGATGTAAAAATTTTAGTTTAACTTAGGTGAGATGGACCAGACATCTGACTACCATAAATCCTCACACCACAAATGATGCTTAAAGCTCTGGAAAGTGCTGTACAAAACAGCTGTCGACAGGCAATCTGTAAGATGCTAATATGATGGAAAAAAATTAGCATGAATAAATCCTTATGCGCCACTTTATTGGAGAGTCCTGATCCAGGGAACAGCAAGAGCAGGGGTAGCAGAAAAAGCAGCAGGGCGGCTGCTGTCCTTACCGTCACTGTCGAATGTGTCAGGAGAAGGGAATTTGACCCCCATCTGCTTCTCCAGATCATGCACCATGCTGACCCTTCTGAATGGGGGAGTGAAGTCAATCTCATAAGCCTGGCCTTCTGGACCGTCAGGGTGGTATGTGACTTTATACCCCCCAGTGATGTGCTTAACCATTCCTGAGGGAGAGACAGGGAGACACTGACCTTGAGCAGCCGAGCAACAACACTTTCATAGTTTCCCATTGAATTTAAAATGAGGTCTAAAAAAAAATCAAGAACTTTCCTCATGCTTCAAAAGCTGTAAGTTAATTGCCGTCTCACCTCCAATGCATGGAGAATGAAACAACTGTGTCAACCAAAATGTTTCTACACAAAAAGGCATTCTAAAAGCGTTTTTAACCCTCATCTGCAAGAAGACAGATCACTTCTAATATAGTTTCAAGCAACGCCCAGCTGGAGAACAAACCCTGCTTAGGGGCCTCCCATTTCACTAAATCACAATGTATTGTGAGCTACCAGTTCTGGCAACACCTCCTCTATCTGTTACCTGTTGAGTCACTAACCTGAGAGCAGCTTCTCTGTAATCTCCATCAGATCTTGGTAGTCTGCGTAGGCCATATAGAACTCACAGGTGGTGAACTCTGGATTATGCGTGAGGTCGATGCCCTCGTTTCTGAACTGCCTCCCAATCTCATACACCCGGTCCATCCCTCCGACCACAAGCATCTGCGGGGAAAACAGAACGAGATGCTGGGGGGTGAGGACGGGTTTCAGGACAAACCGAAGAGGCCCATGTTGCACCGTTGGAGGTGGACACACTGTAGAAAAGGCAAGGCATGAGGAGCTATTCCTTTAAAATGTTTTAAAAGGTATCTAAATTGTCCCACGTTTTGAGAATGTATGTTGAATGTGTAATATCTATAAATGGATGATATCTAAAACATACAGCAACCTTAATTCATTATTTTCTGAATACTGACAGTTCCCAAGAGAAATCTGTTTGGGCCAGCACTGTTCCCGGGGCAAAGATAGGTTTCCTACACAAATTGAAATATTATAATAACAGGTTTAATGTTGCATGTACAGTATGCATGTGCTGAGCAGAAAGCATCTGGTTATTAGTCTCCCATGCCTGGGGCAGTCAGGCTGAGGACACCGGCAAAAAGCACTACCTTGTGGTAGAGCTCAGGGGCGATCCGCATGTACAGGTTCATGTCCAGCTCGTTATGATAGGTGATGAAGGGCCGAGCCACAGCGCCCCCAGGGATCAGATTCATCATTGGCGTCTCGATCTGTCAGAAAGAGGCCTGTCAGCAACACACTTTCACACGCCTTCTCCTGATCATCCCTCCCTATCACTATCACACATGCCTTAATTGTCAAAATACTTACAAATGCAGATTGTAGATTCTAGTCATTGAATCATTGGATCAGCTCAAGAAAGTAGGCCTTTCACTTTTTCCTGTATCAGATGCTGCATCATTCACTAACCACAGAAAGGTTGAATCAACCTAAAATGACTGTTTGCATCATCTTGCCAATTTTCTGATTTTTTTCTGCTCTCAGGTTTTCAGTGGCTTTCGCAATGCAACTTCTGCTTTTACTGTATTCTGAGAGGAAGTGAGCTGCGTGTTCTCCACAGTGGTCTGTAAAAGCAGTCGGCGTCGCCTGCTGGGAGCCCTCACCTCCAGGAAGCCCAGCTGGTCCAGGAAGCTGCGCAGGTAGGTGATGATCTTGGCACGCGTGATGAACTTCTGCCGCACAAAGTCATTCAGGATGAGATCTAGATAGCGCTGACGGTACCGAGTTTCCTTGGAGAAGAGGGACAACAACATCAAAGGGGGCAAAAACACGGTCTTGAAACCACAACAATTCTCTCCAGTCACTGAAAGTGGACCCTCGCTGATTTAAGGCGCGATGATAGAAGACTACCACTTCTTTGTGTGAAGGTTAAGAAGGAATCTCAGTTCAAACCAAGTTTCAATGACAGCATTTTGCATACCACTCTTTCAAAAAGACTTGGAATTTTAAAGTCGCAACAATCAGCATCTGATGCACTGCAGAATATTAGCATAAAAACGTTCTGCATCCAAGATACAATAAACACAGAAAACTACAACACACACATTCGCACACATCCTCTACACCCTGACTCTTCTCTGCAATCACGACGTAAGAACATGAGGAGGCTTGACTGCTCTCTGTGCTACAGGGAATTTACTCCAGTGAGCAAGGCGCCTCACTCGAGCTCACCTTGTCCTTGAGGCCGAAGTGCAGGTGGGGGAGCATGTGCAGGCAGGGGGACAACAGCGTCATCTCGACGGGGATAATGCTCAGCTCCCCCTTCTTCGTCTTCCCCGGGTTGCCGCGCACCCCGATGATGTCGCCGCGCCGCAGCTTCGCGTTGATGTGTACAAACTCCTCCTCCGACTTATAGTTCCTGCCGGGAAGCAAAGCCGGGATGCAATGACTGACAACCCATGGGCGTTTGGGGAAAAAAAAAGCCAGAGATCCACACTGACCTCTGGTCTATTCTCTTATCTTACAACACCTCATTACTGCTTTCATTTTTTTTTTAATGAAACAAAATGAGTTCAAATACGCTGTAGCACTGCGAACAGCCCAGGAGAACAGAAAGCGAACTCGGATGGACAGAGAGAGGTCCAAGCCTGCCTGTCAGTAAATTAGACAGAGAAACGTGTCTGGGGGGAGGAGAGCTCCTAACAGCTGCTGGGTGCCAAGATGACAAGCGAAGAGCAAAAAAAAGAAACAGTGTGAAAGCAAATATTAATAGGAACTGAGAATTTGCTTTGTCTAATTGGGAAGCAGAACAGCATGGGGTGATGCAATTAGTGGATACCACAAGAATCTCTGCTAGATCTGTGAATATGAAAAATGTAATTATGTAACAAAAACAGGTTATTTAGTATTCACATTGCTGGTATATTGACATTTATAATGCCACGTGATAATGTGACTTGACTTGTTTCAGCACGAGTCATGTTTAGATATCTGCACAAGATCCAGTAAGGAGAATGGGCCAATGGCCTCTTCTCATCTGTAGTTGTTCTTGTGTTTCAAAAATCACAGTGATTAAGCTACACAAAAAAAGAGAGGCTTTGGTTTTAATTTGAGACGATTCAGGAGCAGGGGTTAAAAAGATCAGAAAGGGGAAGGCTTGGTTATTTCTGTGTCAGGATGTAGATCCCACTTAACTGAACAGCCTAGGTGTCCAGGGTGCCACAAAGCCAAGAAGACATTTAGTGAAGATATCTGCTGTGTGATCAGTGTGACCTGCAGGCTGCACTGGTACAGTCTCTCTGAAACAGGCGCCAATGCAGACATACCTAGAGTTTGCCATCACCTGCAGCTTCACCCCCTCTCCTCGCAGGTCGTAGAACAGCAGCTTGGCCCCTGACGCTCGCTTGGCATGGACACGCCCTGCACAACAAAGCCAGTCAACGCCACAGGCCTGCACCTCGTCCACACTAGAGACACGCAGCTCCTGCAGGAGGACTTCCCTCCTGTACAGTTCGGAGGACAGTGAAAAAGAATGCCTTTACTGCAAGGCATGGTCTTTCCATAACTCAAGAATGCTTATCTCTGAATGCCCGAGCAAACAGGATTGGTGTGACACTTTGACTTCCAGAGCATACAACAATTAAGATAAATATCAATTGTTTCTAAAACACTCAACCCAGCCCCCCCACATAAAATTGTTTTAAGGTGGACGGTGTCTTAAACGGTACTGTTGATCACAGCAAAAAATGCCACGATTCTAGTGACACCTTAAAAACAATAAATACAAGTAAACATGGAGCATTAAATACGCAGTCATGGACCTGCACTGCCTTATCAAAGACGTCTTCTTTACCAGATACATTGAGAACGACATCTGTCAGCTGGTCTCCAGGCTGCAGGTGTGAGTACTTCTCAATAAACTCGGTGAGAGACAGGTCCACATGGAACTTGTGAGGGTACGGGTCCTCTGGTCCGCCTTTCAGTGACTGGATGGCCTGAGTGCGGATCTTGAAGTATTGCTACAAAGAGAGGTAGGGTCCTTCACATGGAGCATGTCCACTGCACAGGCTGAGCAAGCAAACTGGAATCATATTCTAAAAAAAGATCTAATGCCTGCAGTGAATCATGATGGCAATAACAGGTAAAGAACAAGGGCAAAGGCCTACTGTAACTCCACTAAGGTATTGCTTTCATGTTAGAAGTGCTCTGCAATAACAAAGTGTAAAATACCCTTACACTGTATTCACCTGAGCGCGGGTTGTACATACTGCATGTTATGCTCATCATAACTATAATAAGTCTCCTGTCAACTTTAGGACAGTTCACAAAAACAGCCTTTTCCTGCCAGAAATCGTGCCAATTCAGGCATTTTGTAAAAACATTGTTATCAGGCAAACTAACTCTGATGTTGCCAGTGTGAAAGGAAAAGATGCTCTTCAGCTCACATTAGGATCGAGCGTCTCCTCCTCAGAGCCATACAGGTTCTGATCTTTCTTCTCTCCTGACTCCTTCTTCTGCTCTGTTTGTTCTCTGGCCTTGAGATCCTTCTCTGCTGCCTTCTTCTCCGCCTTGAGTCGCCTCTTCAGTTCACTAAGGAGACAACAAGGACACGTCAGTGTACAGGTGAAGCAGCACTGCACTGAAAGCAGAGTAAAAGCCCACATTATTATCAAACCTGTATGAAAAGCCAGAGAGATGTATTTAATGGCTGTGAACAGAAGCCTGGAGATACAAACCTTCAAAGAAACCGTCATTTATTATAAAGGTACATCAATTACATGGACAAATGTGGTTAACCTAAAAAAAAATTCAAAGAAATGAAATCATCTAGACACTTTCAGAACCGATTCACAGGTGTCCAGTATAGAATGTTACACTATTGATTTTCAAAAACATTTTAAGAATTAAGACAAACCAAGCCTCAGCATCCACTTGTGCATTAGTTTTCTTACACTTTCAGAAGAGCACAATTAAATAGTTTCAGATAGAAACAAAATCAGATAACAGGGGAAAAGTACTTCATAAAACCAGTAACAACTGTGTCTGTCACAGGAAGAAAACTACAATTCCCACTTCTTAACAGCTGTGAGGACTAAATTAAAGCATGAAGAGTTTTGGGGATAGTTTGTCTAGCTTGGCATGAAGATGTGAAGGACTTTGTTTCAGTCCACCATTAGCCTCTCTTGAGGATGAGAAAAGGTTGGTTGTTTTTCTCAAAATTAAAGGAAAAGCCACCAACCTTTTGTCACCTCGACATCGATTTCCCTGGAAGAACGAAGGGAAGGCAGCTGTGCTGGGGTGAGCAAATTTTGCCCTCTGACCCCTGACCCCAAAGGCTCGGAACACCTGCTGCCTAGCAGCTCTGACCATGGAAAGCATGGTGAACACAGAGTGTTACTCCAGCTACAGCACAGACCTGGAGAGACAGACACACAAAGGCACACGCTACAATTCAAAAGTGTGTCTCTAGCGCACTGAACCCAACACTGAGAAGCCACAGGATGTTCACTCGCCAAACTAATACATTTTCTTAACAGGGTCATGTTGACAAGCTTTAATCAACAAAACGTTAATTGTGAGTGACAGTAAGGGACCAATATGTGCTATGGAACTCTGAGACTAACGGTGATCCGCTGTTAACTCAATCCTCTTGGTGCGTATGTAAAAATAAACTTTGCTGAGCTTTGCGGGGACACCATCTGTGAGAACAGTAAATAAATATCAAAGTTATTTACAGTTGATTGCTAGAGCTCATCTATTTAACCCATCATGTCCTCCAGCTTGCCATGCTTGCAAGTATTTTCCTTGATCAATTCTATTGCTTGCGTGCTTAAAAACAAATGTTCCTGTATAAAACGTTATTATGTTCCGAGGGATTTGGATATACATTTTCACATGTCAGTAGATTACAGCTTGAATTATAGCCGCTCATTAAGTTTTATTTCTTAACCTTTGCTCAAAAGACACAGTAAATGTAGTCTCCTCCACATGCGTAAGTCAATGTGAATAAAACTATTTCGTCATCCCTTCGCAATGCTTAATGGGATAAGGCGTTTACGTTGCACCAGGCTTACATCTGAAACAGAACGTAACAAGAAGTGAAAACTACAAATCCCACAAAGGCAAACTGCCTCGCCAACGAATGCCTTTACTCGGTTTCCCATCATGCAGTCTGAGGCCTTACTTGACTCAATCAAGTCGAGTTGCGACTAATATAGCCTCACCGGCCGGGCAGAAAAAATATTTGGGGGAAATCAGAAAAAAACAACCCTAATGCACTATGTAAAATTAAAAAAAAAAAACAATTTTCTCAGACCATTATTAAACATGCAGGTATAATAAGGGTCAAATGTCTAATTGCTTACCTTTTGCTGATTTTATTCTCTCCATCAGCTACCACCGCGTCCGCCATCTTCTCTCAGATCGCCTGCTGAAAGGGCAGCTTCCGGGCTGAGGCGGCCCCTTCAGGACGTGTAAGGACGGCGCTGAGCGAGGCGGGTTGTTTTTGAGAAAGGACCGCCCTATTACTGGTGTGTCCTCAAGTACCGTAAAGAAGTTAGCAAAAACACCATAGGACACAATTACCCCTCCAGGCCTGGTTGGTTACCGTTTTATCAAACAAATCTGACTTTGCATAAAAGCCAGAACTACAACTCTTGACAACTGATAGCTACGAAACTAAAAACAACAACATTGTTTTTGGTGGACGGCGACTGATAACGTATTTTAACAGACTCGAATTTACAAAGTGCTGTTATTTTAAATAGCTAGGATGATTCGAAACCTTCTGTTAGATTTGTTTTGCTAACAATTTAGTTTTTGTAAGTACTACTCATGTGTAATACTAATTCATCTTAATAAACCGTATTGGATGCTAAATGTTGCAGCAAACATAAATATTGCACGTATCTGAAGAAGTGGTTTTAATTAAATAAATTTGATAAAAACAATAAAAGCGTTAGCAGGAATGTTGGTGTGTACTGTACTTGACTTGAAAGTAATCACAGTATGACACACATTTGTGTACCAGCAGCCATATCACCCTGCAACTCACAACTGGCAACCCACTGAAGTTAAGCACGTGTGAGCCTGGGCAGTACTTAGATGGGAGACTTCCTGGGAAAAACTAAGATCACTGCTGGAAGAGGTGTTAGTGGGTGGGGGTCACTCAATCTGTGGTCTATGTGGGTCCTAATGCCCCAGTATAGTGGTGGCATATAATAAGCCAATTTAATATGCAATAATTGAGCTTTTCCTATGAATTCTGAAGCTCTACAATGTATTCCAACTTAATAGCCTTGGAGGAGGAGGAAGAAGAAACAGAAATAAAAATATTTAAGTGAGGAAACATTATTTTAATTATGGAGATGACATCCTGAAGAGAATGAGCAAAATTATTCCATCGGGACTTTAAAGTTTATGAAAACTGTTTATATGTTAATTGTTGGAATAAAACAGTTATGGCATATCACAAATATCTAAAGTGTTTGAGCAGAAGCATAGTCGGAAGTAGACTGCATGTCCCTCATAAGCATCAACTCCATGAACCTTTGAAGTTCCTCCTTTTCAATTTACCGTCTGTCAGTTATTCATTTTTTGCTGGCATTGTACGGAAGAAAAACATGAAAAACCTTGGTTTTTTTTCCATTGTTTTTATAACACATCATTCTTTTGAGTTCCAGAATAAATCAATATACAATAAGCATCTAAATTTTAAAAAAAGTCTTTTTTGCAAACATTTTGAAGTCATATAATATTGTTCAAGAAAGGCAAGACATGCATGTACTAGGTGATGTGACAAGCAATAATTATTGGAAGGAAAGACTAAAATGAAAGAACGAAATGAATATGACTTAACACATGAAGATACAACTATTTCAGAACAAGCGCCTGGTTCATGGGTCCTTTGCTGGTCTTACTAAAATAATACATTTCCTGCGGTTTTAAAATGCAAGGTCTTTTTACAGAAGTCCTCAAAATGATGTACCATTGAAGGAGCTGTAAAAAAATAAGGGTTATTGTTTTAAGTTACCTGTGTTTTATTTTTAAAGACTGGAATCCCATCGAACTTCTTCCATCTCAACAACCTTTCTTTTGCTGTAAGTCACCTGTCCCTTGGTTTTTCTTTTATTTATTGAATAGACAACCCTTGCGTAGTGAGTACCTGAAGCGAGGACTTCCAGAAATTAATTTGTCCCCCCCAGTAATGTTGGCAGCCCCTGAGTTCTTAGAAAATCTTTTCTGAAGATAAAGCATGTCTGGTTCAAATACTTTGACTGAAAGATCGGACTTTTCTGTTACAAATCACAATTAAATTGCTTTTTCAGAAACTGCTTCCACACCACTGCAGAGATGACTGCTTTCAGTTTACAGTGAAATTATTTTCTGCTCGCAATGTGTGTTGATATTTTTTTATATGTATGAGAATACACTGGATTTTTAGAAATCTACTTCAGTTCACTTAATTGTATAACAGAATTGCATATTATTTGGTAGTGCGTTTTTACTATCAGATATAGCTATAATATTAATTCGGAATCAGTTACATTTTCAAAACCTGTAAATCACACATTTGGAAAAATACAGATTTTAAGTGAACCGGAAGTAGACGTTGCCGGTTACTTGATCCTCACATTAACACGCCTTCTTAAACTAAAGATCAGAGTAATATTTAAATATTTATCCGGACAATAATTTCTGATATATTCCTGTTCTAAAATTCTTGAAGATTTTACGTAATTAATTTTAATAGCCAAAAGTAATCAACGATATAACCAAAATAAACACGATTGTTACTACTAAAACAGACCAACAGATGGCGTATACTGCAGCGTATTATGGCTAGATTTAAAATGTCCTGTCTTCATGCCCTGCTTCGTGAGAAGGTACTGCTGTTCAGGATATATACATATAGAAGGCGGAAGGCTACTCCGTACTTTGTAATTGTAAACAGGTAAACCTCAACAGATTGTTTTAAAAACCCAAAGAAGAATTTACAAATTATTTTAGTAGTAATTTCAAAGCAAATGCAATTACTTAGGTCAGTTAAACACATGGTATAAAAAGCTATGAATTAATATGATCATAAGTCCTCAATTGTCTTCTACCTCATGTCCAAACCAATTCGTACGCTTCTGTGTTCTTGTATTCAAGAATGAAAAGCAAGTTAAAATTCCAACTAATGGCTTACAACTTTTGTTAACGTCTTGCTGTATATTGTTTCATATGTTAAAAGTCTTTATAGATCAATATGTATGCGAGTGAAACATGAACCGTTTACGCTGTATAGTCCTCAAAGTTAAACATAATACATTACTTAAATTCCAGAAACTAAAGATAATGCGTTGCCCTGTTATGTGAAATCTTTGTAATTCTATTTTAATATTTTATGAGTAATTTAATTTTTTTAATATATGTGTAGAATACATAAGAACCACAGATATAGACTTTTTTAAAAACAGATTTATAATCCAACACCTATCCGGAAGCAGGAATAAGCTGTTTTCTGATCATGCTCAGGATCACCTGGGTCCTAACCTTGAAACATAGCAAAAGGTGTGACAACAGCCTTAGTGGAAAGCCAGTGCATCACAAGGCAGAACACATACATGTTCACAACCCAGCTAGCATGTCTTTGGAAACGTAGGAGCTTCATGCAAACTCAACATGGAGTGGCCCCAGGATTCAAGAGTTGTGTGGCGCCAACACCAACTGCCAAGCCATCATTGCACCAATAACCAGTCAGGAAAGAAGTCTTCTTTAGGAGTCAGGGAACCACAATAAAATGCAAACTCCACACAATTAAAACGTTAAATCTATTTTATTGATATAGATAGCAGCAAGTTTACAGAAATATAATTGCAAGAGTATACAAATGCCCCAACAAAAGCAAAATACATTTATAAATTTCATATTTAACAAGTTGTTCACATGGTAGCTAAAAACATACAACACAAACTGTACTCCCCAGAACCCCCCAAGTCTGTGCTATATTCTCACTACTTAAACCATATACAGGAACGACACTTCTATAGGTAATAAATGTCAGCTTTCACATCAAATAACCAGACAAGTAAAAGGGACACTCACTGAGAATGGTGTGCAAATTGATTTCTAATATGTCTTACAAATAAATTAATCATACAAAATACGCTGGTGATGTGTGTGAAATTCACTATAACCAGTTTTATCAGCTTGATCTGGAGAGAGTTCTTACAAAAGAACACTACCTTTCTGATATTACTCCCTACACACAAAAACTAAGAAATCTTGAATAACTTAGTTGCAATAATTGCAGTCTTTGAAATTACTGCATCCCCCTTTCTCAGTAATATGATTCACAAGCGGCGAAATAGAAAAATACTTTCTTTTAAAAAATAACATTTACAGTTAATTTTAGTCAAGCTGCATAGCAGCTTGACTGAAAAGGCTTCAATTAAACTTACAAATCAGTAAAATGAAGGGTTTATTAAAAGAAATCCAGATTTTCCATTAGAAATCCAAACCTCAAACACCTCAAAAACTGTATTTGGATGAGGAGTGCCCCCCCCCCCCAATTAATTTGAAACAAACGTAGAACAACGGACATTTTGAAGAGTTAACAAATGTGATAACCGTTCAAAAAAGAATCTCATGACGCAGTTCATTACTTTGCCTCCGGGGCATTCTTTATCGGCATCAACAGTACCTCAAGGGAAATATGGATGCCCTCATCAATAGGACAGTCTCAAAAATCACAGAGGTTCCCTTACTAATGAGGCATTAACTCATTCCCCCCTCACTATTTCTGCTACCTGCTATTTGTCCCCACTGCATTACACAAAATAACATTGTGAAATAAGTAAATTCACAAGTTAATTCACATGTACTTATAATGGGTACATATATAAAAATGTCTATTGCATTTATTGTTATTTCAATCAACACTAAGGCAGAATGTGCCCTTTGGAAAACATTGGCCCCTGAAACAGTTAACTCTATTATTTAAAACTAAAATTTGAAAAGGGCATTACACTGCTTATTGGAGACCAACATCAGGAGTTCTGATATTAGATGCCAACAAGGAGCATCTCTCATGGTCTTATCATAAACTGCTGCCTAGGAAGAAAATAGAATGTATTTTTTTATCTTAATTGGTCCTGTGCTTAATGTAGCAGCATTGTCTTAAGCAAATGACATCCACACCATTCATGAGGTATAGTGTTTTAAAACAAATTTTGTAGTTTGGCATTCAGATGGACTACTTAGTGTTGGTTTCACCTCGCTTTTGGCAGTTTCTCTTGACTTATGTTCAATATTGTGGTTCAAAATGCTCCATTTCTGTTGTCTATAAGCTAACCGTGACATTACAGATTCTGCGTTTCACAATTTATTTTCATGTGGTTACATTCATCTTAGGTACAAAAGCATAAAAGTTTTATTTAAAATCTTGCTTGGTGAAATGTGTCCAGCCTGGTATCCAATGTTTTAAGAAGCAATAAAAATGTCTCAATTCATATGAAAGGGTACGTGTTGAATCTGATATTTTCCAGTTTTCTCTGTCAAAACAGCCTGTTGAACTGCAGTGGGATAGTTTAACTTAGGTCTGTAGAGCAGAACCTGTACTGGGTCACTCATAGATTATCTCTACTGGAACACCACAGGCCTTTCACCATAACAAAAAAGGGAATAACACGAAAGGGAAAAAACACAAAATAAAGATAAGGAGGTAACACACACACAGCTAATAAACAAATTGTATAGTATGTCGGGGCAGAATTGTGACACCACTTTGAAAATGAATAAATTAGATATAGTTTTGGAAAAGAGGTATTAGCCGAAGACACCATCAGTAAAAAAAAAGAAGACAAAAGCTTAAAAATGGAAATACAAATTCACAAATATCCATGAGAAATGGAAATGAAAGCATCAGTTATTGAGAGGAGTAGAAGAAAGCTAATCACAGACAGCTCCTTTCTCCAATGCACATTGCAGTTTGACATCTGCAGCAGGTCCCTTTACAAAACCCAATCGCAAAGTCTGTAACACTAAGGAGGGGAGTACAGTGAAGTGCAGTGCTCACAGACATGATGGCCCTCACCCATCACCTTTAACAAAACATCATAATGTCTACAACAGGTGTTTTTTTAAATTATAATAATCAGAATGATAAAAATATCAACAATAAAAAACACCTTGCTTGGCTACCTTGTCTCAGTTCCAGCCTCTGGTTCACAGTAGACCTATGCAGCCTTCACTAGAAACAAACAAGGACAGACTGGGCTACACGCCAGTGACATATTCAATTTAAGGTGTGTAAAGCAAAAAAAAAGACTGGCAGCACTGGACATCTGACGCGAGATTCACAGCTGTACAAGTCAATGTTTTTAAAACAAAAATCTGTAGGCGCTGTAACTCCACCTCTCTCCCTTTCACAACAAACAAGTATTTAGAACACAGAAGCAGAACTGCCACCCATACAGCCATAAAACTGGCAGAATCTCAGGGCAGACCTGAAGTGCCATTGTGATAAAAAAAACATCCATAAGCCAGAATAACTCAGCACAGAACTGGAGCTCTGTATGGATGCAAAAGAGCTCTTCTTATCCTCTCTATGTTACTATGGAGGGATTAAATTAAGTATAAGGGCTTATTATAAATACATGTATTATACCCATATGCAAACCTTAAACCAAATACTGCTACAAAACAATCTTCTGTAACATGGCTGCAAATTGCATGTCCCACTTAAAATCAGAGGCTGGCTTTTTTTTCCTACTTGCTGTGATCTGAAAAAAAAACCTCAACCCCCCAACATACAAGGTGCCAGAAAGTTGAGAAAACGTCACAATCTACCACAGAAAGATGCAACTAAAAGTATATATTTACAGCTGTACTTATCTAGTACAAACAACAATATACATCATATTGTTGAATTGTAACACACACACACATATATAAATATGTATGCATGTATGTATCTTCACACATAAGAACAAACACATTCACATTAAAAATAAGTCACTGGAACTGTAAATGAATGACCTAAATGCTGGTCTTGCTTGCTCTCATCCTTCATCCCTATATTGTCTGCATTTGCCTTCATTTTGGCAGGGGAAAGCTAAAAAAGCTACAATTTGAGAGGAAGAGCCAAAGCAGGTGGACTGGGAGCACTGGGGGCCTAAAGTAAAAACCAGCTGTTTATAAAAGTTTTGCCACTGTTCACAAAACATGCATGAGTAAGAAAATAGTATAAATACATACAGTAAACAAGTGGAGAGCTATCCATATAACAATTAAAAGACTTAGAAATTTCTAAAAATATGGACATATTTAAGAATAGATGTCATAAATAGATGATAAATTGATGGAGAGGGCAATGGGAAGATATTTGACAACTGGTCACGAAGTAAAGCATTATAAAGTGCTTGAAGGTACAATGTCAAAAATATGTTACAAAGGATTTTTTTAGATTTTAGTTTACCTCAAAACAGCATTTTATTTTTTTTTAAAAAAGAGCAAAGCTTTACAAAGTTTTACGGCACACGTTGAAGTCCTTAACAATTCAGAACTTCTGTATGCTGGTTTAAAAGGTGCACGCCTTTAAATGTCAAGGTCACCTTCTGCATCGAGAAGTTAAAATTCTGCCACAAGATATGTTTTCTCCTACAGCCGCAAGAAAGAAATCTACAGTATGCCAGAATAACCCTGACAGCTTTGGATGATTGTTTTCAACCTTCTACTTTTGGGCATCTCACAAATTTTCTAACTTCTCCCAACCTCGTCCCCCCATACTCCCACTCCAAATCCAGTTCGCTACTGGCTTCACTCTTTGTGCCAGTCCAGCGCCTACCAAGACAGAAAACCACCATCTGAAAGAAGAAGAATAGATTTAAAGAGTGACGTACAGAGTGACATACTGCTGAAGATATAAAAGGGACTTGTTTCTTGAACAGGAGCTTGTTGATTAGAACTTTCCAGTTTTTCCACACTTCACAATTTCTTCTCGTTTGGCTCTTGTGGGTCCTGAGGGCCAAAAGAGGGTGCGAATAGGAAAAGGAAAAAAAAAAACAGATGTAATGCAGATGATAATTTCTCTAAGAAATTTAAGAAAGTAATAAACTAGCTTCCCCTAATAATCCAGAACAATATGTCTTTAGTATGTCAACAAAATAACTAAGATGCAGGAGGAGACGCAGCTTTCTATACATCATGTTTTTTTTTTATTAAGTACGTAATCTACAAATAAATACTTTTTTCCCCTCATTTACCATTTTATGAAAGCTCTGAAATTGTGAGTTTTAAGTCAGTCACTGAGGACAGATGTACCCTGGCCACCATAATAAGTAATATGACAATAGTGGGAGATGCATGTCATCGCCAAGCAACTGATCAGGGGCACTTTTCAAATGTCACAGAGGACATTCATCCATATTGGATGTTCTGACAAAGTTCCAATGATAACCTTGTGATAGTCATATGAACTAGGCACTTAAAATAGTTACCTAACCCTAACGTTTTGCATTTAGTATTATCCAACTTGATCAAAAAGTGAGGTTGGTCACTCACCTGTGATGACAGGGACTCTAAAAGGAGCGGGAGATGTTGTTGCTCTGGTCCTGGAGACTCACTAGGAGGTCATCAATTTTCTCCATGTTCTGGGATGCCGTCATGGTGTTCTGGATGCTACCCGACTCAGATATGGACTGGTTTAACAGCGACTGGATCTCGGCTTCGCTGTCTCTCGAGTTCTGTCCTGACTGGCTGATGGCAATGAGCTGATCGGACAGTGTCGATCCTGCAGAACCTATAAGCTGACCGCAGTCTGCAAGGAAGATTTAGTCATGTGAACTGGAGAAAAGCCATCAGATTGACGGATAAAACAGACACTACAGCAAGCTCTTCTCTTACATTGTAAAAACAGTATTTCATGGTAAGTGACATATCCAAGTAACAGATTTATAAATTAGCCCAATCCACCCCCAAACTGTGGAAGAATTTATTTAACCTTCAGAATCAACATAATGATGAACCAGTTCAAAAAATCATTAATGAAAGGCCTAGTTCTTACCGTTCTGAATCCCAAATAGGAAAAGGCCTGCAGGCTGCTGTGTCTGGCCAGGCTGGCTGATGGTCCCACTCACAGAAGTTTGGAAGAGTGATCCTGGCTGCTGAACAGGGGAGGACGAGGTGGTCTGTAAGGTGTTCTGAGATGTGAAGATCGATGTCTGGGAAATCTCCTGGGACCCAATGCTGCCCTGCAGGGCCGATATGGAGGCCTGAGGCATAAATATGGCCACAGGCTGTTCTGAAGTGCTGCTGGAACCTTGTACTATCTGCATGGGTTGCTGACCCTGGAAGAGGCTCTGCTGGGATGACTCACTCTGGGAGGGGTTTCCTGTCACTGGATTCTGGTTCTGGAAGGACATGGGCTCTGATGGCTCCTGCTGGCTAACCGCAACAATGTTGGACTGAGCAATGAAGAGGGTTGCACTCTGTGGCTCCTGAGAAGGCAAGCTGCTGCTCAGTGGTGGCATTTGGTTTTGCCCACTAAAGAGCATGCTAGGCTTCTGCTCCTGGGGAATTATGTTGCTGTTTTGGAACAGAAGGCCAGCCTGTTGTTGCTGTTGCTGGTTTGGTGAGAGTGCACTTGCTGGAGAAGAGGACATGTTCTGGAAGAGCGACCCTTGCTGCTGCTGTTGTGGTGTTGGCTGCTGTTCCATGGGACTGCTTTGCTGCATCTGCGGCAGCTGAGCCTGGGAATGGAAAACTGCCTGTTGCTCTACAGAGGCGGGAGGCTGCAGAGAAGAGAGGAAAGCCATCTGCTGCTGTTGCTGCTGCTGCTCTTGATGCTGCTGCTGCTGCTGCTGCTGCTGCTTGGGGTCTGTGGTGAGCTGGCCTTGAAGAGCAGTCTGGGAGATGAAGAGGCTAGTTGCAGATGGTTGCTGTTCTGGGGAAAGCGCAGAGCTGGTCAACACCGTCAGTGTGTTCTGGAAAATGGCTGCTTGAACTTGCTCCTGACTGGGGGAGACCTTCTGGAACAACCCCCCCGCCACCTCTTGGGTTTCTGCCATAGGGCTCGGGCTGTGGAACAGCTGCTGGGGAGGAGAGGGGTGTGAGGGGGGCTGCTGGAGAAAGTCGGGAGTCTGGATGGATAGGAGCTCCCCTGCTTGTTGAAACAGGGCCTCTTGTTGCTGCTGCTGCTGCTGTTGTTGCTGGGAGGTACTATGGAGCAAGGACTCGGACGGCTGGAAGAGAGAGCCAGGGTTCTGCACCATGGTTTGCGGAGAGCCCTGCACAGTTCCTTGGACCTGTGAGTGGAAGAGGTCTGGCAGTTGCTGCTGGAGGCTCAGATTTTCCAGAACCTGTTGCTGCTGCTGCTGCTGCTGCTGTTGCTGCTGTTGCTGCTGTTGCTGTTGCTGCTTGACAAGGGAGGTATCCGCTGGCTGAAGCTGAAGACTGTTGATGTTCTCCTGTACTTGTGGCTGTATTCCATCGGCTGTTGGGGTGGGGCTGTACAGCACCGAGTTGAGCTGCTGCTGCTGCACTGCGGCCTCCAGTACTTGCTGCACAAGGCTGCTGCCCCCAGACCCTGCAGCAGAAAACCCCCCGGCTTGGAGCTGACGCACGGCTCTTTCCAGCTGGGCCACTCCAGCGTCCTGCGTGAAGAGGGAGGAGGGGAGCTGGCCTTGCTGCTGCGCTGAGCCCTCGCTCAGCTGGGTAAGCCCCAGCACACTACCGGCGTTGCTGTTGGCCCTCTCCCGTGGGAGGCTCTCTCTGGGCTCCAGGAGGAACAGGGGCTCGCTGGGGACTGTGAAGGAGCTGGTGGGTGCGATGTCCTGCTTCTGAATTGTGCTCAGTGGCTCACGGCTGGCAAAGACAGCGGGCTGAGACTGCTCTGGCTCCCCTTGTTGGTGGGACAGGGAGGTCGAGAAAGGGTTGTTGCCAGATGACATGCTGTCCAGGGTCTGCTGCGCTGAGCCGATGACATCCGACGTCTGCTGAAAACACAAAAACAAAAGGTGTGTCAGACAAACCCATGTAAAGCAATGTGACGTATTAGCATTCTAACAATCTAGAGAATCTTGATTGATGACATAAATGATTTTTGATGGTTGCAGGCTGGTAATCAAAAACTATAACATCTCTATACTTCAAAGAATGTGTGGTGAAATCCAGTACTAGACAGAATTTCACTTCTTAGAAATATTTGGTCCACTGCAGTTTTCTCAAATCTGATAAAATACAAGATATAGAAATGCTATACAATTAACCAATCCTAACCTTTCAGCTTAACCAAAAATATAAACCAGTACATGCAGTACACAAGTGTTCTAAGACAAGAAAATTAAACTCAAATACATATTGTAATTAAAATACCTTGAAGACAACGGCTGGGGTCTGAGTGGTGGATACCTCCATGGGGGTCACCTCTTCAGTCTTCACAAGGGGCAGCAGTGGAGTCATCAGGGCACTAGGGAGCAGGTTGGCCTTGTCCAGGGTACAGCTGCTGGCCTGAATTACTGAAAACGGAGCAGAGCACCATGTAAAACTCATGCGATTCACACCCACACAACACCAGAACAAAACAGGCACAAACTGACCCAACTCACCTCAAAGTACAATTTTTACATTTCATGTAACCAACAATCACTTTTTTGCATATTTTAATTTCTTTGCAGAACTGAAATCGGTGTCTATATTTTATTCATTTTCTCATCAAATACCTATCTTAATTCATACAACTCACAACGGGATCAGCAGGCTTTCTCTAAAGACCTAGAATGGTATTATGGGTCTTGTGATTAAGCAATAAGCTCTCCCAAAGTGGCACAGCAATTGAAAGAACTAACTGTTGATAAGGCCTTTCACCTTGATGTCTCAAAGCTTTCCAAGGTGAACAGTTTGTTAGCAGTGCTGTTAATCCAAAGTATGTTAATGCTGTTTCCATAAGAGCAAATTACTAATAACTATAAATGTCAACCACACTAACTGTAATAGTGCGACTGTGGGCCAGTGTTTTAATGGTTTTACAGAACTCTTGGGAAACCCTGTAATGAACAAGAGCATGTTGAATATATCTGGTCTATCAGTTTTCTGCTCCTTCCCGAGAGCCCTGTAACATGAGTTTTAGGCACCACTGAAACCCTGGAGTAGAAACAGCTGTTAAGTGCCAGAGATACAGACAGACATACCTTTCATCTGCTCATCAAAGCAACACGGCTTGGCTGGAGTAGGGACCTCTTTCTTCACTGCCACTTCCACTGCTTTAGCTGTACCATAACACACAGATACAGCACAGTCACAGGAATGAAGAAATTCAACATCATGCTGTTCTGGTGCCAACTCCCCTTTGATTCCCATTTTCCACATTATTCCAGCAAATAACACATTTCTCCGTGTAGCCGTACTTTATCTAAGGGCGAACAGTTGTAAATATCTTCTTGCACATGCTTTCCAGGCAAAGCTTATAAGTTAATTAGTGGAAGAAACTATAAGCAATCATGCAGAGCACAAAACAAAACGAGGCATAGTGAATGACCGCATTACAGATCACTTAAGTGAACCTGTTTTGGGGCAGCAAGTAAGAAATAAGAAAATCTTCCTATTCGGCACAAACATAAAAAAACTAAATGGCTTTTATATATTTAGACTGCATATACTTTCTCAGTTCAGCAAGGGAACCTTATACATACTACAAGTCTTTATTTAAATTTTAATTCCAATAAACCACCTTTTAATGCCAAGACAGGCATCTGGTATTATAACATTTTTCTTGTTTCTCTCCTGTCTCCCCTGTTCCCAGTTCTGGCAGTGGAGTATCCCATCTCTCCCATTCCAGCTGAGCTCTTTTTTAAGCTTTTTCACTGTTTAAACTTTTTAAATAAGTGTTTAAAACATTTTAAAACAGGTCTTACAGAGTAGGACAGGGTTAGAAATGAGCACAAGCACTATGTCAGATGCAATGTTTCAGAATTCCACAAGTTTAGGACTTGCTTAAATAACCAATTTGAGTTTAACCAATGAGTCTGTTCTTCAGTAAGATGGAAATCAAGTCTCTTCACAGTTGATGAGAACAGGGTAGCAGTACCAGGTGGATTTGCTGCAATGTAAGCCTCTCAGCCAGGTTGTGGGGTAAATGAGACCTAGCTCTCCTTTTTGTTGACTCAGTAGTTCAGGGTGCCGGTCTGATTACAATGGAACAGCAGCAGGACTGATGATCAGGGTGAGAAGGAGACAGCAGACAAACCTGGCTCTGGAGTGTATGTGAAGGGCTGCACATCGTGGGACCTCCCAGCGTTGGTCACCACATAGATCCCAGCAGACACGGGAGACGTGATCAACTGATTTTGATAAGGAGGGACCTTGACAATTAAATGATTCTAAGAAAGAAAAAGGCAAACAAATTAACAGGAATAATTACATTACTCTGCATATTATCCCATTCTTAACTGTACCACTTACAGTTGTGCATGAACCTGTAATTCACTTTAAAAACCCATCTTACATCTAAACCTCCACCCTCCAATTCTATCACAAAGGCAGAACATGTCACAAAGACTGGGACTCCTGCCATGTGTGCCATTCATTATGCACCAACTGAAGCCTTTGCGAAACGCCCACTGGATTTCCTGATTATTCATGAAGTTACAAAATCAAACAATGGATAAAACAGAATGTGCATGCCGAGACAGTTACCAAAGCTCAATACCAAATCAGCACAAAAAACAAGATGCAGACAAAGAACAAACAGCAATCTGACATTTTACGAAATCCATCAGATAGAAGCTACCAGCTAAAAAAGGTCTAATAGTGAACTTTAAGATGGCATTCTTGTCAATGTTATTGTGATGGACATTTCTTACAGTCAGTCTTCTGTTGGAGCCTGGGGCAGCCGTGGGAGCAGCTGTCGAGAGAACGACCTGTGGGCGTGTTTGTGAGAAAGTCTTGGAGAAAGACTTATTTGTTTAGCCAGTAAGCAGTTTAGTGGCTCAGATGTGTGTACAGTGAAAAACACTGAATAGTCTAGCCAGAAGCTTTAAGAAGAACAATAATAATAATCATTGCTTACACTTATATAGCGCTTTTCTGGACACTCCACTCAAAGCGCTTTACAGGTAATGGGGACTCCCCTCCACCACCACCCATGTGCAGCCCCACCTGGATGATGCGACGGCAGCCATAGTGCGCCAGAACCCTCCCAACACACCGGCTATCAGTGGGGAGGAGAACAGAGCGATGAAGCCAATTCATAGATGGGGATTATTAGGAGGCCATGATTGGTAAAGGCCTATGGGGAAATGTGGCCAGGATGCCGGGGTAACACCCCTACTCTTTTCGAGAAACACCCTGGGATTTTTAAAGACCACAGACAGTCAGGACCTCGGTTTTACATCTCATCCGAAGGACAGCGCCTTTGTACAGTATAGTGGTGTCCCTGTCACTATAGTGGGGCATTAGGACCCACATAGACTGCAGGGTGAGCACCCCCTGCTGGTCCCACTAACCTCTTCCAGCAGCAATCTTAGTTTTTCCCAGGAGGTCCCCCATTCAGGTACTGGCCAGGCTCACACCTGCTGAGCTTCAGTCAGTTGCCAGTTGTGAGTTGCAGGGTGATATGGCTGCTGGCATAGTCATAGTCTTTCACTTTGTATTTTGAGTTTTCTCACACTGTATAATGAAGAGCACTATTTATGTACCTTAAGGCTGCACAGTTTTTCCTGGAGCCAAATATGAAAAAGATCCTTTTACACTTCCCATCTCCAAGTTACCACAGAAGCTGGCAATCAATTACAATATCTCAGTTCTCCATAACAGACGAAGTAGAGAATTAAAGTGGGGTGTTAGGCCACATATTTTAAACTAAAAAAGTTTATCAGTGAGAATCCTACAAATCAATCAGACTGAGGAGGTTATGTGCTGACGATGTGAATTCATAGGTTTTCACATTCAAACCCTACTAACAAGCGCCTACTTAATTTACACACAATGAGCACAAGCCTTTGAAATGTGCTGGTTTGTACATACCTGATGGAACAGTTCCATATCAATCTCTGCTTCAGCCTTCCAAGAATTCTCATCTTGAAATGACAAAATAAGCAGACTCATTATGAAAATACTGGGTCGAGTGGCAACCCTTACCTAAGAAATCCTTTATGATTTTGGTTTTATAAAAGCTGCTTAAGACTACAAGGTTGAATTAAGATATAATTTTCTACTATATCTTGTATTGTGTCCCAATTTTAATAATGTTAAAAAACAAAACTAGAAAAGTATGCTTTAAATTCAAAAATTCAATTTACTACAGAATGTATAACTGCTAAACATTCTTCAATACTCATAAAGCCTTGATTATTCACACACAATACTAGAAACCTTTTGAAGTACCTGATGCGTTTTCCTGAAAGATGACTTTTGTTCCCTTCAGGAAGTTCTTTCCAATGAGGAACACCTCCTCTCCTCCCTTCACTGAGCAGCTGTGGAGGCTCTTCTTGAGAATTTCAGGCACTCCAGCGGGTTGAGCTGCACACAGATCACAGACAGATAAACATTACACATTATAGAGTACCGAGACACTAGAAACAATGCTGATTAGATTCAGAGACGCTGCAGTTGAGCAGGGTTACAGATTTGTGACTCTTAGAAGGCTACATTGAACAGTCCCTTCAACATTAATGCCCCTTAAGAGGATTCAGACTAGTATTCCTAGTTGAAGAACAACATGGCTAGAGACAACATACTGTTTAGGAAACTATTTTAAATCAAATGTCTGCAACAGTAACTTATACATATTAGTCAATAACAGAAACATTGCTTATCCTTAAATGTGTTAGATATGTTGAGAATATCTCTTATAGTATGAATGAATAACTTTTGCAAAATTCATAACTGTGTTTTGCATCCTATTTTAAATGTTAAATATTAGTATATAGAGGGCTTGCACAGGAGAACAACAGTTCAGAACAAATCCATAACCAACATCACTAAATGAATCAAAACAGACCTTCCTCTAAGAAAACTCACTCATTAGGTCAGAAATACCAAAAACCTCCTCTCCCAAAACAGGCCTCTGAACACACCTGCCATTTAGCAGCACAGAAAATAAAAAGTCCTGTATTCAGATTCCCGTGGAACCCAAGTCTAAGTGATCCTGAGAACATTTCTTTATTATGTCCTGAAAAAAGTGCAGAAAATTTCTATGCTTTGGTTTCACTTTCTGCTTGTATATAAAATTGTTTTATAAACGCATGAAAAGTCATTTAAAAAAACATCTGTTAAATACAAAGATTTGGGTCAGGCAAAGCAATGAAAACCAACCAGTGAAAAAAATACACAATTGGCAGAACTGAAGTCCAAACCTTGTAGCTAGTCTTATACTTAAAGCTGTGCTTTTCAGTGCTTATCACCATGGTTACCACTTTTAATCAAGTAAATTGAATTCCTGTTAAGTACAACAGAAGCTTTTCTTGCACTAGTACCTTATTACAGACTTATGACAAACTTGGATGGTGAAAAAGAAACACTAATACAACCTTTTATAAGTGATAACTGAAAAATACTGGCACAAAGGAGCTGAGAAAGTTAATTAGACCCTACCCCCACACAACCCAGAAAACCAGAACAATCCTATATCTGGGTTATTTCTAAAAGCAGCTTTTCTGAGCACCCAGACAGCAACTGTATTCTAGTGCTCTGCGAGGGAAGTGAAGTATTTAGTTCCTCCTTCATTTTAGAACTACACAGGAGTACTAGATGACAACTCAATAAATGTGTATATAATGGTCAAATAATAAATGTAACAAGTTTTCATCCCTAAATTAAATGTCAGAAAATTAAAACACTCATATTCAAAAATAAAATTCAGATGAACAGTTGAACAGTTGAATACTAGTTAGAAAAGCATGGTATTTTAAGTGGCTATCAGGTTAAAGTAAATTCAGTTTTTAAGCAAAGGTACCAGATCAACTTCCATGACACACAACACAGGAAATCCATCTCTGCTCACAAAGAAACACCACAAATGTCCTAATGGCTACAAACTTTTAACAACTTTGGAGACGTAAGAGGTGGACCACTGTGGAGAGAATTATTTTGCTCTTTAATAAGATTTCACCAAATCAGATTCAAGTGCCTTGGCAGAAAACCAGAAAATACATTTGAATTAATAATCTTTAAACTTCTAGAACACTTTTCTGGACACTCCACTCAAAGCACTTTACAGGTATTGGGTTCTTCCTTCCACTACCACCACCACCTATGTGCAGCCCCACCTGGATGACGCGACAGCAGCCAGAGTGTGCCAGTACACACCAGTTCTCAGTGGGAAGGAAAGCAGAGTACTGAAGCCAATTCATAGATGGGATTAGGAGGCCATGATTGGTAAAGGCCAGGACGAAATCTGGCCAGGACTCCAGGGTTATCACCCCTACTCCTTTTCTAGTTATGTAGTGTACACAGCAAAGAGCAATGCATAATCCTTAGATAGAAAATACAATGTGGAAAATACTTTTGAGAACCGCAAGAGCACTCTACAAACCTTCTGTGTGTGACAGAGTTAATTCACAACATACACACTCACTGCAGCATCTCTATTCAAGCTCACAGTCCCATCATCTTACATTTTTTACAAAACATTTTCCGTTTTCCACAGTCGAGCTTCTCCATCATGTAAAGTTGTTAATCTAGTGCAGCTAGTGCTTTGCATCAAAAGCTGAACTGCCACCCAACTTCCTTTCATGATCCAGAAGGATAGGAATTATGCTCTTGGCAGGCTTCATGGTGTTTCCCCCCCCCCAATATCGGTTTTCTGAACATAACCAAGGATCAAGAGAAAACCTGCAATAACTGGTGCTTAATTTATTTGTTCGTACATTTTCACTGTTAATGGTAAGGTCTCCTACCTGGGTAAAATGTATGATATTTTTGTAATGTAGCACTGTAGTCTCTTTCTAGGCCCTGAGTATTTCAAATCATATATATAACAAAAACAAACAAGACAAAGAGGGTTACTGGCAACCTGTGCTGGAAGACAGTGGATGACTCATTTATCTTTAAGAAAATGTCTGCTGTACTTTTTACCAGTGATCCAAGGTTTTAACAAAACCTTCTTGTAACTATAATGGGGCATTCCGTGCCAAGAAGAAGACCAGTGTTTGTTAGCACGCAAGTCTTGGGTTGCAATGAACACTTGCGATCGTTCACTCCTGGGTCCAGCAGTATAAGGATCTGATTAAAATAGCTCACACCCATTACAGTTTCCTAGGTTACACTATGGTGTGGAGCTACCCCTTATTTCCTGGAAGGTCCCTGGCAAGAGACTAGGAATAACCCAAGGTACTCACTGCAGAGAATGGGAGATGACGGGGTCTGTAAAGTGAGAATGGAGCCGTCAGGGCGAGGGATATTGACTCTGAACACCAGCCTGGAACGCGTGCTCTTCTTCTTGGAACCAGCGACTCCAATCCGAGCTTCGACATCAGCATTTCTCAACTTCAGAATCCCAACACAGTCCACCCTGCAGACGAACGCACCTGTCATCTCCCTGCAGGCTCACACCAAGCTCACACAGCATTAACCCGCCATTCCTCATTAACAGCACTGCTGATTGATCTCTCCTGAATGCCGGAAATGTTCTGTGTACTCAGGTGACTCATTTTAGGGACACAAGCGACCACAATATAAACAATGTCACACTGAATCTGCATCTGTTTTTACTCAGAAGGTAGCATCTTAAATGAAAAACCTTCTGGTTGCCTGATAGCCTCAACCTGCAAGCAGGTGGTTAAAATGTAACGGGACCTAATGAAAGTCACATAATTGGGGGAATGATGGTTATTATAATAAACCACTGTAAGATAACATGGTACTGCTGAACTTGCATTGCTGTGGAAGAAAATAAAATATTTCCCTTACGCTAAGGTCATGCTGTTGCTGGGATCCAGACACACTTCAATGACGGTTGTGCCCTCAATGTCCACCTCCTTACAAGCTGTAGTGTTGCGTCCAGTAACTCGGCATGCCTGGTAAAATCCATGTGGCTTCACGCGCCCTGTGTCATTACCTACAAAGACCTGCAGGATCACTGGCTCGTTCACACCTTCCAACTGGGAAAATAAGACAAACACATAGAAAACACAAAAAGGTATAAACCACAGTCACAGTTCTTACTTCAACCAATAGGAATCCAGCTCCCATGTACACTTCACTTTAAAGGACAACTTAAATATTTGTGCCCAGTAAGTAACTTTTACTGTACAGCTTAAAGTTCATTGTCAGGACACTATCCCTACAGAAAAGACTGACAATTCAGAGGAGACTGTTGTCGATGTTGTGTGTAAAGTTTAACTACAGCAGAATTGCCAAACACAGAAAAAAACAAACAAACACTGCCTGCACTCTCCTTGGATTTTGTGTCATCTCCAAAATATTTTTTAATATTGGCAAAGTCGTAGCATTTTCTCTGTGTGCACTGCTGGAGCCAGACTGAGCTGTGCTCTGGGACTGTCAATTACCTAGGAGTGTTTACTAACTCTAGACACATTGCGCAATACTACCTCAACGTCAGGTCTAATATGAAAAGATCTGCATGAGATGCAAGTATAAATGAATTACTTTTGTTTTCGCACTATAAATAAATGAAACATCCCCTGCTTGGCCAGCGTAGCGGCAAGTTGCCCGTGGTTTGGTCTGTACCTTGACAGTGGGAAAGCCCTGCTGGGTGCGATCCTTGACTGAGCCTCTGCTGCCCTCAGTCAGGTACCGGGCTCTGTGCTGGGTCTCCGGCTGGACCAAGATTTTCAGCTCCTTTCCTTCGCTCTTACTGGGGTACTGTCCAGATAGCGGGACTCCCTTTAACGTAGGGCTCTGTGGGTGTTCAGCAGTGCTACAAAACAAAGTCATTCTTAACACTCAAGACACCAAAGGCCAAAGTCTCAAAATACAGCCGTTCTAGGGTTTAGTTTTAGTGTTTTGTTTTTACTGGATCTTCGCTTTCCTTTTTATTTGACTAAATTCTGAATATCTTGCTCAAGGCACATATGGGGATGTCATTACAACATGGCTCACTTAAATAACACACCAAGAAGGTTTAGACATTCTCTCCTTCAGAATGTGCACTTGGGTCTTAAGCTGGCACTTTGATAACTTTGTGAAAACAAAATAAACTTCCATTCTCATACAACAAAATGCTGCTTGTCCTTAGTTTCAGGCCTCCTGTGTTCATGGGCTGTGCTGGAAACCACATTTATTTTGGAGCTCTATGCACTAAGATGTGGCCTTACACAGATACCAGGAAATGTCATTCCAGTATTACCTCTCTAAACTCTGCTGAGCCCTTGTGTAACAGTGAATCCTAAGAGCTGGAGCACCAGCCCCAACTACAGAAACCAAACCCCTGTGGCCAAACAGCTTCTTGATGCAGAGTGGTTGTCGAACAAAAAGAGGGTTCATGGCACCCAGCCCTCCTCATCCCCCGGAAAAGAGCCCTACAGGATCTTAACCATGTCCCCCAATCTCATAAAGCTGCTTGGAGGCCTTCATCCCTTCTCTCAGTACTGGGAACACAACAAGCGGAAATGCAGTGTCAAGTCAATCGTTCAGTTATCTACTTTGGTCCCATCTTTGGCTGCTTTCTGATCAGCTCTATAGCGATACACTGTAGCACAGCCCTTCAAACAACTGCTGACCTAGAGAACACCCGTCTTCTCACCCCACGCTAGCGTTAAATACTGTAAGTCTCCAATATACAGTGAGGTTAGGCACACACAACATTATTCAAGTTTAATATCGCCGTGAGCTACATTATAATGGAGGTCTACGTCACCCACAAAAGATCAAATGGTTCTCATCGCCCAAACTAGATTACAAATTACTTGCATATTTAAATGGTACAAACTGCACAAAACAAGAACAATACCATCTTTAAACTTCATTTTAAAGTTCATATTTATAGCTTTTCTCTTTGCCAGCTTACTTCCCGAAGTGTCCACGGGTCATTTGTCATTCATGTTTGTTTTCAAAATCTCCCAAAGCACGAGCACCCATAGATCTTTGCTGCATGAACACACAAGTTCAAATACTGTGGGACAGCTGAGGAGGTAGAGCAGGCGATTCTGCCCCCCTCTGCAAAGTTGCAAACATGTCAAAACATATCAAAATGGCACCAACTGGCACACTTTTCTGTATAGCCGTTTTGCTCAGGGTATCTTGCATGAATTCTACAGGTTATAATCAAAGCTTTTTAGCTAACAGTGATTAATGTTCAGAATAAAAAAGCTAACCCCAACTCACCATCCCCAAATAAGTCCGATTACTGGACTTGATTTTCAGATGTAGTTTTATTGACTTTCTACTCCCATTTAATTTGCTTGTATTTTAACAGACGTTTTCCGATAAGCTAAAAGATAATGGCCACAGGAACCTAAGATGCAAGTCAGAAAGGTCACTAGAATTTAAATCTTCTCTCACCCTCTTTAATTGTCCATCACTGCACCTTCATGTGCTCCTTACAAGACCAGAGCAAAGGAAAGGACTGAGATTAAGATGAGCCTGGTGTTGTGTACCCCTCATAGCTGACAATGAGAGGAATAGCAATGGACCTCAATGTCAGAAAATGGCTGGTCAGAAAACATTTTGTCACAGTTCCTAATTAAAGCTACAAAACCTATTTAATGGAAAGGGTGACCTATTTAAACCCAAGGATCATTTCCTCGGGTGGCATGGTGGTGCAGTTATTCGCGTTGCTGCCTGCAGAGCTGGGGCCCTGGGTTCAATTCCAGATCTGGGCTGCACTCTGTGGAGTTTGTATATTCTCCCCATTGTCGCCTGGATTTCACCCACGTGCTCCGGCTTTCTTCCACACAGTTAAAAAGACATACTGGTCAGTTAAACAGGGAAACCTAGCCCTGGTGCGAGGGCTTCTGTCGGAGCTTGTGTCTGTGTGCCCTGCGATGGACTGGCTCTCTGTTCAGGGTGTGCCCTGCCTCGCTCCCACTGCTTGCCAGGATAGGCTCCTGCTCGCCCGTGACCCTGAAGTTGAAGAAGCGGTAAGGAAAGGATGGATGCACGGAAGAAGGGGTATTTTCCTGAAGGTTTATGGTGACCAATGAATGACAGAAACTCCAGGACCTCTTAGAGGCCCGAGCTGCCCACCTCGGCCCTGTAGCGTACTCAAGAGCTAATCTGCCCTTGCGCGCAGCTGTCGTCCCGGAGAAGCACAGCGAGAGGCACTTTGGCGGGGATAATTGCAAAGAAAACGGAAGCACTCACTTTCCTTTAGGACAGGCTTTGCTGTCTGAGCCCAGCTGGGAGAGGACAAAGTGGGGCCCCTTGGCGCTATCGGCGTCAAACACATCCATGCTGGCCTCGTCCGCCGGCACAGGCTTGGGGCCCGGGCGCTGGCGCGGGGTACGCTTGCGGGACTTGCGCGGCACCTCCGTGTTGTCGTTGTACGAGCTGGAGCTCACAATGCTGAAGTTGGAGGCCGAGTCCTCCATCCAGATGCTGCTGCTCTGCTCCGAGTCCGGGGTCCCCTCATCTTGACAGGACATGCGGCTGTCGTCAAACAGGTCCTCTGGGGGAGGGGAGATATTCAGGACCGTCCGCCGCTTGGAAGGAGTCGTCTGGTGCTGCTGCTGCAGCTGCTGGGCCCCTCCGCCTCCAACGCCGCCATTACTGCCGCCGCCGCCCCCGCCGCCGCCCCCACCAGCCAGCTTGCTCTCCTCGCCGAGCGTCTCGGGGACCTCACGGCTACTTACCCCCTCGCTCGGAGCGCAGCCGTCTCGCAGGGAGGCCTGCTCAGTGACCGAGGTAGAGGAGTGCATGGTGGGGCTGGAAGATGCAGTGAAAGAACTGCGAGGACCTCCCATGGACAGAGGAGAGGAGGTGGGGGTCGCATCTGCAGTGTGTACAATCGCACAGTAAATAAGGGCAGTTCCACCTGCACTGGCTAGCAGTCCCATTCAAGCAGCAAAATTTTGCGCAGGATTTCTTTTGTCCTTGTTTCGTTCGTCTCCAATTTCAATTCAGTTTTTTTTTTTTGGGGGGGGGGGGTTGGTTTGGTTTGCCAAGAAAATTTAGTCATTGCATCATGATTCTGTGGGCGGACGGGTTCTTTTTTTTTTTAATTGGACTTTTTTTTCATTAAAAAAAACCTTTGCCTCAGTGGGGGAAAAAGATGTTCCCAAATGTTTTCCGGATTTGTTTTTTTTTTTGGTTCTCAAATGCAGGTGGTTTGTTTTTCAACGGTTTCCTAATTCTGTCCAATTTAAAAAAACCTTTAAAATTAAAAAAAATTAAATTGATGGGTGAGGCTGCTTTAAAAAACGTTTCAGATTTGAGTTTATTACTTTATATTCAGATATTGAAAAATATACATATGTTTGAAACCCTTTAAACACCAGTTTAACTGTTGAGACCAAATGAAAAGTTGGTGCATATAAGTCAGATGATGCATGCCAATTGGATTTTATTTCCATACAGACAGGTTAAAATAATTTAGCTGGGACTGAGCGTAGCCACATAAACAAAATAAACAAGCTTCTGACCTATGAAGCAGAGAACTGCAGACCATTTTATATGCAGACACTCCCTGCTTCAGAGGGAACTTCCTGGAATAAAAATGAGACAACGAATGAGCAACAAAAGCTGATCATTCAAGATTTATTTTAATAAATTGTTTTTAAAAAAAAAGAAAAATGCAAATTTGTGAAAATGGAACCAATATCCAAATTGCAGTGTTCCAATGCCCAACACCTTCAATGAATTGACAACTTCGGGTTTCTAAAATTCATCTGGTATGAGAGCCAAAGTCACTACATTTCGAAAGCATTCCTTCATTTTCATGATCACTATGTGTTATAGGTGTCGTGCTGCTCTCTCAGAGGTTTTAGCAGTGTCCGATGTCAGATAAATGAATGAAGGAGGGAGTAGGAACATGGAATAATACTTTTTGTTCCTCTATAGCCTACGCATACTGACACAACTACCTACTTGAGTTGCTCCAGTGAAGATCAAAGAATATGCACTACTTTCCACTGTTTATGGCATTTTGTCATATTTGATATACACTTTCATGACTTCTGAAGAGGCCAGTATTACGCAAATTGTTTTTCCTTAAACGTTAGAGGTGCGATGAACAGCCTTCGGAAAAGAAAATACTTCACCGTACAAGTGGCTCTTCCGAGCCACCATATAGCAGTGTTGCACTTCAAAGTAAGTGTATGTATTAATAAAAATAAGGGCCGTGGTTAAGCTTTTCTGACATAAATGGGTGATAAATTCTGGTGATGAACGGGAAGTCCCACCTTCAGTGATAGAATAATTCTACACATCTGTCTACAATGCAGATGCACTGGGGCCCTTTACAGGAACATCCAAGCTTTGACAGCACATGTGTCAGAACACTGCTGTATCTTAGGGACTAAGCCAGCCTAACCCATAGTTCTACCAGGATAAACCTGGTTAACAGCAGACGTGAAGGTGATATTCATATAAATCATCATAAATCAAGTCTTACTGTAACAGAAGCTCTGTGATACTTTCCTTATTACCTAACAGGACTTTGTGTCAATTAATACTCTCACCAGGATAAACAAAGTGTGGTGAAACAGTTCACCCCTTAAAAGTGTATGGTTCAACATATTTTGACATATTTGACCTTCACTTGGATGTAACCTTGGACACCACACATTCAAATCATGGAAATAATCTGTCAGAATGGCCACTTCTGGGTAAACAGGAAACAATCTTGTATTTTCTCCATTTGTAGATTATCATTCTTACTGTGGAACGATGGAGTTGCCAGACTGAAAAGTAAGTCTCTTAGACTGTAACAGATTTCTTTCAATCTGGGCATGCTACAAACCCGAGTGCTTAAAACCAAACTGACAGTTTCTGATTCCTTATGCAGGTGGTATCACTTCCTGATCAGATGATCAGATAATCATTGCACATGTTTTGGTGCACACGAACCTACAAACCCTCCAAAATGAGAAGGCAGAGCTAAGGGTTCACTTACTGTTGCACACACAGACATTGGCTTATTGTTTATTTGAAGTTATTTTTTTCTACTATAAGGGCTTGGTGAGGACAAGGTCAAGATCAATATGTCTAAATATGTTAAATCATAAGCTATTTTGTGTTAAGTGATGTACTTTTTTTCTATGCTGTACATTACGCTGTTTGTTTCTACACCTTTAGTATGTGAAGGTAGTGGCTATACAGACAACTCTGTATCTCTTAAACATGCAGGACTAGCAAAGAAGGCATTGTGTGCAATTTCTAAAAAGCAGCCTAAACTAACATCAGTGTTTATAAATGTTATAAGTCTTGTCCAAACTAGTGCCAAGACAACATCCATTTTAAAGATTTTGTTTAAAGGCTGAGTAAACACATGGATTCAAAAAGGCAATAAGAAACTTCACTAGCAATCAAGCAAAGCCACTAATTTACATAATTTTTTGTAAGTTGTTGTTACAAAACAATAAATCTTATAAGTGCATGAGGATATTTTTTAAATTTGCACTCTTGTTTAAGAGGTGCCAATGTGTGAGAATTATTCAACACTACACCTCATTTCTGCAAAGAAAAAAATAATCAAAGTTTTCAAAACTGATAAAATCACCTAACACTATAAATCAATTTCCTCCCTTTCAAATGCATCTGTGGGATGATGGTAAGTTCCACATACCGATATGAAATGTCCATAATCTTGAATCTTTTGTGAACTACATCACTCTTTTCAGGATACTATATTTTAAAAATCAAAACAAATAATTGTTTGTGGAATGTTGTCTGCTTTGCATTGGCTGATTCTTAAATATAGTTAACACCTTAGTATGGAAATTGCCAATTAAAAATAACGTACTGTTGTGCAAATCTTGTGTTTTAAACTGCATGAACTGGGAAGGTCAACAGGGAAGATGACAAGAACTTCAATATTCTAAAAGCAATGCAGCTGAGTGGCATCATATTCAAGCACTGAAGCAAATTAATATATATTGATAGATAACCATATATTATCATATATAAATATCTGAAAACTCTATTGTATTATTGTCATGTCACATGTCATGAGCTCTTGAAGTGCAACAAGTTCCCTAAGAGGGCAATAAAGGTTAATTCAAATTAATAGTTTATGACAGAAATCAGGCAATCTAAGGCAACCATGGTCACATGAAGTGAACCAAGCTGGTCGTGACAATTTAAGAAATGACTTCAGAGAGAAGAGATTCCTTTAAAGGAGCTTCAATGTTTGAGCTGCAATTGCTTGGGGGTAATGTAAGTATCTTCTTGATCAGCACAGATCTCCTTAAAATAGCTCATAATAGCAAGTACAGTAAGAATACCCTGTCTAAAAAATTTTTTTCGCCAAAAAGTTCTTTATAAAATTTTCTGAATATACATGCATATATATATAAACAGATGCTGCAATGAAGACAAACCACTTCTTGTGTATTCATTACCGAGCATTATGGTTCATGACAAAACGGTCATTTATTGCTTTATAAGGTCCTTTGGCTTTGCCTGAAAACGCACATGACATCAGAACTAACTGAATGAAAGGCGGAGTATTACTAAATTTCAAAAATAGCATGGAGGAGCCATTAGGAGAAGCTAAAAAATGTTTTAAATAGCAGCAGAAGCAACAGGAAACTGACCTTACAGTGACATGCAAGAATGCTTTCAAACTGTGCAGTGCTTTGCCTTCTAGATGCTATTTAGCAGATTGCACTTGAGATCTGTACCTTTAAGACGCTGTTCAGAAAACACTGCTAGCATCTTCTTAGGGCCAAAGACTTGGGTAGTCTGATACCTCAGGCATCTAAAATGTTGCTCAGCGACAGGAACAGGCAAAGTACAGTTTGCAGCAATCCTATGCCTGCTGACATTACCTCAATACCTTATACAGTCATTCACTGCAACACTGAATCTCAGATGGCCTGCCTGTGAGGAGGCAACACTGTTTCAGACAGCTACACACAGACACTTGAAAGTCTGCCTACATATACAAAATTACATACGCACATTCCTACACAGTGCCAGATACTTGCTTCTTAAAGGCACAGGGAGCTCATGAGTGACTATGCATGTCAGATCTGTAAATACTGTAAATATTTGTGCGACTTCCTTCAACCAATTTTTTTGCTTCCAGCTTAGGGAATAGTACAGGAAGTTCTCAGGTTCCACTCCAAAGACAAAGCAAACATCGTGCTTACTTGACATGAAATCTGTGTCCATGTGTAAGAAAATGTATATGAAGTGACGTCAAGGTCGTGATCTCACAAGTGTTCCTTTCCATTTGCCAGAGCAGTGAAACCACACCCACCGCCCTCCCAAGACCACACCTAATTCCCAAAGAGCTAGCAGGCGACGTGCAGAATACAACACAGCATGAGAAATAGTTCCATTTTCACACATTTCATATCCCATCAAAGACAACAAAATCAAAACAATGCAGTGGTTCTGAAAAACTGAGGAATTAACAAAAAGCTTAAATTAATTTCAGTTAAGGTTTCAGACATACGTTCAAAATCTCAACATGCAAAAGAACGAATTTGAAAATAGCAGCATACTTTGTATGGAATCACAGTGTATGATTTGCAGCCACTATGAGCACCCTGTTACGCTGTGTACTTTCCTGATAACATCTGAATTAAATGAATCATGTGGCTGAAAGCAGCCTGCATATAGCTTAAACCAAGTCCACTTTAAATCCGTTTTGTTCACTTCCCTGGGAAAATGTGCTGAAGTAGTACCATCCTTTTACTAACAGGATGATTAGTCCCAGTACCACATTACAGAGAGAGCACGCGTGTGATCATTAGAAGTATACAATAAAAAGTAAAGAGATTACTTTTTGAAAGAATAGATGCACACAAACATTTGATACTGGCA